CAGCCTGGGCGCGCTGTCCGCCCCCGTGGGCCCCGTGGGCATGGGCCCGCTCGGGCCGCTCGGCCCCCGGGGGTCGCTGGCGGTGGGGGGCAGCGCGGGCGGCGCGGTGGACGCGGCGGCGTGGGTCGGCGGCGGGCTGCTGCCCCGCGCCGCCTTCCTCGGCGGCGACCGCGGCGAGCACGGTCCCGGACGGCCCGAGGACGCCGACGACCGGCCGCTGCCCATCCGCTTCTCCTCGCTGGGCGGCTGCAGCCTGCTGGAGGCCAAGGTGGCCATCTCCGCCGTGCGCAGGTCAGTGTCGAATGTCGGGGGAACGGATAGCCTCGCCGCACGCTGCGGACTCCGAGAATCGTTTTTCGCCGCTCTGTCTCTCTCGCGCGCTGCGCGCTCATAGGGCGCCTCTGAGAGAGACAGGGCGGCGGAAACGACTCTCGGAACCAGTCCGCAGTGAGCCTGGAGAACACGGGATATCCGCGCCTCCTCGTAATGGCTACGGAGCAGAGGTCGCCACCTTTTGGAGGCCACCGGAGGGCCGCCATTTTTCTGGACCAAGAAACTGGCGGCGTAATTCGCCGGTTCACGCGCCATCGCCGAAAAAGCCATTTCATCATCCCCGGGCCCGGCCAGGCCCGGCCAGGCCCGGGGCGCCTCTCTGCCGCTCCGCCGCTCCGAGAGAAAAATGGGACGTCCAGAGGCGACGTTTATCCACCCTGAGCACGACACGCCACGGGCAGACGGCCCGGCCCGGCGCTACCCCCTTCCCCGCCCCCCTCTGCCGCCCTGCCGCCCGGGGTATCTCCAGCACATTCATCATGCCGCAGCTTGCCCCCACTTGCCTTGTCTGTTGCCTGCATCGCATATTAGACTTAGACATCGGGAATCTCTTTCGGAAGAGTTGCCCCCATCTCCAGTTTCCAAAACTCCCGCGTTTCCACTCGCCGCGCTCAAATTGAAAACTCGCTTCAGGGGCCGCCATTTAAGGCCTGGGGATGAGCGCGCTGTAGCTACCCGCCCTCCACTTGAAACGAAGAGGGTGTATCGGCACCGCAACGCTCAGCGCGGAGCGCGGCTGAGCGCCCGGCGGGCAGGCCACCGGCCCACGTCGGCGCACCCGTGTCTCGCGGTGATGCCTACCTCGCGCTTCGCAGGCGCTCCTTCACTGTGCCTGCCTCCGGCCTCGCTCGCAGACCAGCTGGGGGTGGCAACACTGATTCGTCATGGGGATTTTGTCGTGCGTTGGTGGCCACACTGTTGCACGATCGCTGTCCCCAGGGCCTCCATGCTGCCCAACCCGCCGACGCGCCACCTGCACGAGCGGCTGCACCTGCACCAGCAGCACCACCAGCAGCGCCACCTGGCGCAGCGCCGCGAGAGTCGCCAGCTGCAGCTGCAGCGGCTGGAGGACGCCCTGGGCACCGTGGCGGCCGGCACCTCCCTGGCGAGCACGTCGGAGCCGCCGCTGTCCGCCGCCGCCGTCAAGGCCGCCGTCAAGGCGCGGCGGCACAGCCACTGCCCCAGGCCCTCCGGGGTGGCGGGGGTGGCGGGGGTGCCCGGCGCCCACAAGCGGCTTAAGCCCTACGCTCTACGGTCGCCGCTGGGGGTGAGTACGAGATTGCCACTGATGCACCGCGGAATAAGTTTTCACCTCCTGACGAGGCAACACTGTTGTTGACAACTTGAGCGTGATCGTCCGGCAGGTGATTGACTCTTCACCGGAAGTGGGCAGCCCCGCCGGCAGCATGGGCAGCGAGCTGGGCGCGTTCGCCGCCATGCTCAACCAGTCCCCCAGGGCGCTGGGCCCCAGGGCCCCCAGGCTCGGCGCCCAGGGTCGCAGCCAGTCGCTGACGCCGGGCCGCAGCCCCGCGCACCGCGGCCAGGCCTCGGGCCAGGCCGCCGCCGGCGCGCACAGCCTGAGCCCGGGCCACGCGCACCGCGACGTCCACCGCCAGCTCTCGGACGCGGCCGACGTGTCCGCGCACTCCAACTCGTCCACCTGCCGAGCGCTGCCCTACGGCGCGGCCTGCGAGTCCTTTGAGCTGGCCGAGGTGGCGTACGGCGAGGCCTGCGCGCCCCTCGCCAGGATCGCCACTCTGGAGACGGCCTCCCTCAAGTACGGCAAGCCGGCGTGGAGGAAGCAGGAGAACGCTGGGACTGTCTTTGTTGACCCGCCACGGTTCGCAGGGACGGTGAGTTCGCGGACAGCGGCTCGGACTCGGTGTTCGGCGTGCAGCCCACGCAGCACGGCCAGGCCGCGGACACGGCGGCGGACACCGGCGTGGACACCGGGCAGGACGCGGACACGGACCAGGACGCCGACGGCCAGCTGTCCACCGACTCGGCCGGCTCGGGGAGCTCCACGCCGCACCAGGCGTCCAGCCGGGGCAGCCACAAGCAGCGCCTCTACGTGCTGCCCGTCGGCGTGGGCGTGGGCGGCAGCTCGGGGTGGGTGCCGTGCCGCACGGTGCCGCTGGGCCACTGTGACTCGACGCGGAGACGCGGCCAAGCACCACTTTGGTTCACGTCTTTTATTTTTTTCTCGCAGACCGGACATGGTGACCCTGCACGCGGCGCCGAACCCGAACCGCGCGCAGCCCACCAAGTGTGTGCGGCCGCGCTTGAGGCCCAGGCTCGCCCGCACGTCCAAGGTAGGCGGCAGGGCCGGGCAGGGCCGGGCAGGGCCGCACGCTGGCGTCTAGTGCGTGACGGTGAGGGAGATGGTTAGTTGGTTGTTTCTCTGCTTCCGCAGGTCGGGGCCAGCCTGGACAGCGCGGCCAGCGACGACTGCATCACCACCACCCCGGAGCAGAGCCAGGAGGACTGCGAGCACGAGCAGCAAGAGGAAGGCCGTGCCGAGGTCGTCGTCGACCCCCAGGCCCTGGAGGCCCTGGAGGCCCAGGTCCACCAACACGTCCGCGAACACGTCCACGGGCACGGCGACGCACTAGAGCGCCACCGATTCTAGCCTGCGCCTTCGAGCCGAAACAACTCCCAAACTAGGTCTACGCCATAGATTCGTTTTGTATTTTGTATTTTGAAAATTGACATGGCGATGTCATGGTGTTCCTGTTCATAAAAAAAAATTACCTCGCCAATGAAAATCAGGACAGTTAGTTTCAGAAAAAAAACAGTTATCTAGAAAACTTAAGAAATGTACACATAAAATCAAAGCTTGTTTCCTGTTCCTGTGCTCCTGGATTCACGCCCGTCTGTTTTACCTGTACGTCGTGTAAGTCGCGTTTTTGGATTCGGGACTAATAATATAGGACGTTTTGCGCATGTCCAAACGTAAGGTGTTTCCAGTTTAGTGCTCGGGAGTTGCTTTTCTGCCCCCCCCCCCTCAACCCTTTCCGAGTGAGTGGGTTTGTTGATGTTTGCTGTCCTGCATGCAGGACTCTAGTGAGAGTGTGTGAGTTACAATGTCTGTGATGTCTTTAGATAAGTAGGATTTAGAGTGTCGATGCTGTTTTCCCCGGTACGTGCCACTGTTTGGCTGGACAGAAGGTGGTCAGGATAGCGCACTGATTCGATTTTATGACGACAAATTGATGAAGCTCGTTACTGTAGAGAACCACCATGATCGTGCCGCTCGGACTCCCTCCTTCTCTCCAGTAACTTAGTCCATCGAAACCACCTTCCAGTCCCCAAAAAGAAATATGAAGATAAGGTGTCCATAGTATTAATGTAGCCTGTTAGTGTGTCGCAGTCAAAAATGTTTGTGTAAAACAGTCAGATGGTGCATCATCATCTCACAAATTGTTGAAGTCCAGAATCACCTCTTGAAGGGTTCCGGGTTCACGCGTCCCGCGAGGTCCCCCAATAAAGTTCAATAGGAGTAAAAGCGCCTGTCCGATAGGCCACCAGCCCGTAGTGAGACCAGCTGAAGCAAGGACGATGACCTACTTTTCCATATTCCAATCCAATCAATAGCTGTTCATTTTTGTCGCTCTTGTGAGGCTGCACACGAGGCCCTCTCCAACGTCAGCGCCTCGTTTTGGGCTCACTTGCCCTCGACGTGCTACCACATCTCTGCTGGAGGCCTGTAGAACGCAGCGCCTCTGAGGCATTTGACGGTGGCTTCGGAGCGAGTGTTGATGAGGCAGGCCCCTCTCGGCTCAATTGCACTGCAGTTGCTCAAAGGCTTCACGCCTTCACGCAGAAACAGTCTTCCCTCTCTCTCGCTCGCACTTCGGCCCAAGTGCTCCTTTTAGCCCGTCCCTGCCAGTCGGTGCCTGTGGCGTGTGAAGCGAGCGTGGGCCACCCGTTCACCTGTTCAGCGTGGGGCCTTACACCAACAATCACACATACACACACCACTATTCTGCAGGTTGAAAAAGTAATGTAAACCAAATATTTTTTTCTAGTGTAGGGATCCAATCTTGATTAGCCAACAAAACTAAATTCTCAGACCAACAAAATTATTCTTTGACTGTTACCTGCCTTATTAACAATAAGACTGGACTGTTGATTTGATGTCTTATGATGGAAATTGGCAGCATCCATGAAAAAATGGACAGAAAGAAACTGTCCAATAGTGTTTCAGAAAACTCCCGAGGGTTTATTATTGGGTATCGAATGTAATTGGATATTGAATGTAATTCAAAAGATGTTACCTACTGGAGTGGACTGATATGTTCTATCCATTCCTGCCCAACTGAAACAGAGGGTTTGTTTCACAGCCTGGGCCCTCAGAACAAAGGACAACAGCAACAAAATCTTATGATAAAGTGGTGTCAAGAAGAATAAACTCTAGTAATTACTCAAAAATAGACAAAATTGTATGGAGAATATATTAATTTGTTATAAGACAGGTGTCCGTTGTTTGGGAATTCAAATTGTTATTAAGTGTATTGCATTTGTGTTAGTGCTAGATGTGTCTGTGGAATCCTAATGTGTTGCACTTGTTAATAAAAACTATACTGCATCCTGTGTGAATATGCAAGCCCAATTAATTCATTCTCTCATCAAGGAAAGGAATCAATAAGCTCCAGAACAACAATCTCTTTCTCATTTCACTGCTCTTTAATTATTTTGGGGCAGGAAAATCACATTCAAGTTGCTCGTGTTTTTAAAATAGAGTGCTAGCAGTATATCCTTTATATGTACTACATATAACAAAACTACATTTAACTGGGCAATGGCCCATCACAATTATAGGTAGGTCAGTGTCACATAGTGACTTTAAGACAAATATCACACATGATAGCAGCCCCTTGATTAGAAGCAGGCTTAACAGCAAAATTATGTTACTAGGTAAAGATAAGTACATATCTTCCATTTCAACTGAAGAAGTACTTGGAATTCAACACTAGATTCAGGTCAAAGTTCCCTTTAGGTGGCACACTAGAAAACAGGCGTTCAAGACGGCGTTCTTCCACCCCTTCAACTCCTGTAGAGTGATCCCTGTAAACAAAACTTATTATTAAGAAGTTCTATTGGATAAGAAATTGAAATAGGATCTGAACAAAGCCATACTTGTTTGAATATGTCTCAGTTAAAAACTTGGCCAGATCTTCTAAAATGGGTTCTGAGTGAAGAGCTACAAACTGTTCACGGCATATCTGTAAGGAGTAAAACATTTGTTACAGTATTTGACCTTCCTTTGGGCTTAATGTTCACTGAATATAAAAGTACAAAACAATTTTACCTTGCTCATCTCGGTAACATTTTTGGCATGCACCCAGTAGCAATCATGGACAGAAACAAATGTGATACCAACTTGCTCACAATGCAGCCCAGTCAGAATCATGTGGCAGGAATCCAAAGAGTGAACAAAATTAGGAGAGAAAGCATTACGCTGTTTCTTGAGGACTGGTATCCTGGAAAACACAAAAATATTATGTAATGGCATGAGACATTGCACCCTTTACAAACATTAGAATATTTTAGCTTGCAACACACCTGTACAAAGATGGATTAATCCACTCGCCTTCCGGTAAATTTAAAGAGTCTACTTTGGCAAAATTCTTTTTAAAATATGGCTGAATAACAGGCAAACCTAGGGGGGTGACCCATTTTACAGGCATATTCTTTGACTTCACAATACCATTCGCACAGTTAGTCAACCACTCCTGCAGAGAAGAGAAGCAAAGTTACATTCACATATTTTCAGAACTTTGTTTCGATCAAACGGTGAGTCATAAATGCACTCATAGTAACCATAGTTTTTCTGCTAGTAGTGAACATTTCCCCTAAGCTTTGGAAAACCAATTTTGTAATATACAAAGCAGCTGGTGGAACATCATCTAGAGGATACTTTAAAGCTGAAAACAAAGGTTTAAGAGTTACGTTTTGACACTTCAGATAAAATTAAAAAAAAGAACATGTGGAAGTAATCCTGACGACAGCAACCTTTTAGCTGCCCCTCAATTTGCAACTGGGCCCCATAATTTGTTACACCATAGACTGATGTCATTATAGTTTGTTTGACAACTTTTCGGATGATAAATCCTTCTAAGCTCTGCGCCATCTTGTCACCATTAGCAGCATCTCTAGCTCTTTGCTTTTCAACCTGTAAGATTAAAATGAGTAATAACAACGGAGGAAAGGGGCCATAAAAGTAATCTACCATCATCAACGTCTGCATCGAACATCGAACTCACACTTTCGGCCACACATGAATAGACATCAGATGGTATGACAGTATCCACGAGGTTGACCGACTGCGCACCCAGTGTATCTCGACCCATGGCAGCGTAGTGCTGCAAGCCGTTGCATGAGCCATCTTGGTGCACTGGAAAATGACTAATAAAGTTGGCTGGATCACCGTTTGAAATGGCAGCAGCAATTTCCTTGCAAGCTGCCAGTGTTTGCCAAGGGCACTCTGAATTCATCCACCACTTTTCACCCTACAAAAAAAAAAGACCAAAATCAATTGTTTTAAAAGAAGAGACGATTAAGCGCCAATGTATTTCCAAGAAGTACAGCTTACAGTCAGAGGTCTTTCTGCAGAGTCAAGAATTTTAGGCATTACTTCATTTGCATACGCCAACCTTGCATCTAAAGATTCTCTGCTCATTTCTCCTACTAAATTGATAGTGTGAAGCTAGAATGTTAAAAAAAATAAAAATACAAACTTTAACAATGTGAAAAAAGGACAAAAAATACAGAAAATAATAATAGGGATGAATATTTTTACCTTTAACCAATTTAATCCATCAGGTCCCAGTTTTTCACCTTTCGCAAAAATAAGCAAAGAACGAGCCAAGTCATTGCTCATATGCTGAAGATGTGGGCAAACTGGATAGACTCGTCCTCGAAAATCCATGTTATGTGGAAGCCAGAACACACGGTCTCGAAACTAAAAAAAATTAAAAAATCAAACAACAGGCACATGTTTTAGTGCTGAAAAGTAAAATTACTAAATAAATTTTCATTAACATACATCATTAGCTATGCAAAGTTTGTACAGTGTGTCACACCACTGACTGTACATAGCAGCATTATCCTGCCTGATACGGTTACGCTCTTTGGTGATTTTTATCCGTTCAGCAAGTGACGTATTCGCTGGCATTGATGGCTCAGGAATAGCAGCTGAGGGTGGGGCTGGAATAGTTAGTATTTCGGAGCCTCCAGAATGAAATACTTCACAGATCACATCTAGAACCTAGAAAGGAAAAGGCAAATGTACAACTGTGAATACATATCATCCAGCCTTTGCCGATGAAACAGTATTGACAAGAAAACCCCTTACTGGATTGTTTATCTTCCAAGGCACTGATCCAAGCTGATTGAGAGAATCCAAACTAGGATAAAGCTGCTCAGTAGGAACACTTAAATAGTTTTCCTCCAAAGCCTCTGCACCAATACGTGTCTCCGGATGTCTGACAGAAAGAAAATAAGATATCAATAAAATTGTTTAAAAAAGCTGAAAAGCATTTCCCCGAAACTTTAAATGCTTGTCACAGGGTCACAGGGTTTACCTCTGAAAGAGTGGAGTTGAAAGGGAATAGACACCATTTGTTGCACTTGTCCAGGGCCTTGGAGGACATAACATTGGCAGCTCATAAGGATTCATTTTCAGGAAAGGCTGCATCTTGTTTGGGAATACATGATGAACTGAGGGGTGCATTTTAAGCTGCTTCTGATATCCTCTTGTTGATTTGCGGAAAACTACATACAAGGCTGGCACCATGTGGGGTTTCGAACCATTCACTTTAATGTTTTCATCAATTTTGACATCTTTCAACAAAATGTCATAGAGAAACTTTCCAATTTTGAGGTAAAGTTCTGGATACCACTCCCGCAACAAGAAATTTGTACAAGAGTCATTATACTGCATGTTTTTTACTACACTGTCCCACACTTCTCTTGGATTAGAGGGACCAGGCGGATAGCCTTCGGGATTAAAATACTGCTTACAATAATCAATATGAGCTTGCTTGGCCTTGTTCCATACACCATATCTCTTCATAACTTCCATATCATAGATTTCCTTTACTTTTCGCCCCAATGCAACCTGAGCAAAGATGAATCCTACAGACTGTTTATCAGAGTCCTCAATACGGTTATGAATTTCTTGTATAATTAAATCTGCAAAGGTTTCAGCTGGCAGAGACTCTAGGAAGCTCGTTAACTGAAAGCTAGATTTGTCAGTTTTTAGAACATGCATGCTGCTTTGGAAGCCAGCAATAAGGGATGTCCTCCAGCCTTCTTCAACTTCTTTTTGGGTGGAGATCAATTCATTGATCTCTGACTCAGAGAGGGTACAGGCAATGTTTTTCACCTTGTATTCAAAGGAGCTGTGAATGGAAATTTGTTCATCAATTAATTTTTCAGCACTGTCTACAGATAACAGTCCAGTAGCTGGGGACTGGTAGGAGCTAGACAGTTTTGTAACAGGGTACTTGGAACCTCCAGGTTTGGAGTACTTTGTACTCAGAAGTCCTGTAGACTGAATGCTTCTGAGAACCTTCTGGATTAGAACTTCCCTACCTTTACAACATGCTACTAGATCATCAACTGTCACATTTTCTTTCATCATATTCTGAACTAGACTTCTAGCAATTTCAAGGTTCCCTTTCGTCGCAGGCATTGAAGCCAACATTTCAAATACAACAACATATGAGGAAGCAGTCAATGGGGTATTGTACTTGTTGGCCAGAATCAAGGCATGTGAGACTGCCACTATATTTTTCTCATGAGCAGCATGACTGAAAAGTGGTTCCAAAATAATGTTCCGGCAAGGAACATTTGGAAAGAACTGCAATCCTCTTGTGGCATAGTGGAGGGCATTCTTTACTTTCCCAGAGTTTAAGCAAACATCAATGTATGCTGCTCTACGGAATATTCTTTTTTGTTTGGTAATATTTCCTCTTAGCAACATTTGTTTCTTAACAGTTAGCTTTTCCTTCTTACTATTTTTCATCTGAGATAGAATTTCTTCCAGTGATGTGCTTTCTAAACATGAAGCATTTTCCACTGACTCATTGGGCTTTAAATCTTTTAATGCCATTGAGGTCTCCGTTTTCAAACATGATCCAACGGAAGTTATGTCAGGGATCTCAACAGGATTCATCATCCTTCTTGCATTGAGTTCAGCACTTGGTGAAGGATAATCTCGCATTGACAACTTATTTCTTGCAATTCCTTTCAATATTAAGTCTAAAACTTCTTGTGAAAGGGCCGATGTCGGTCTCAATGTAGGACTCCGTTTTGGCACTGTTAATAACTCTTCATTAGGAGCAGGAGTTAATTCTTGAAAATTTAGGTTCCTGGTAGAATTAGGAGGCAACATGATTGTGATACCCACACGTCCCAATTTGGACATGGAAAATGCTGGAGAAGAGGGAGAGCTCGTCAGAAATGACTGGACATCCAGTGAGGTTTCTTCTTCGGTTTCCTTGGAATCCAACAGGGTAATTTTTGTTTTTCGTTTGGATTTTCCTGAAAATGTTTGTACTCATTACTTGAAAACAAAAAGGAAGAAAGGGATGATATCTGCTGTCTACATAAATATTTAACTTACCATCAGCATGAGTAAGAACAACATTTCCTAGCTTGTATCTTCGTTTTTTCTTATTGGCGACAAAGGTTACATGCTCTGGATTTAACCAAGTAGAATGTATTCTTGAAGAACCCACATAGTCTGGAAATTGGAGAAAAACATCGTAGGTTTAAAAAGAACCCGAAAGCTGACTTGGAGCCGCAGAATCAAGATACACTTTTTACAGCATAATTTAAGGAAATTTAATGGCATTCATGTACAGGTTAAAAATTATTAAAAAATTATTTTTCACAACATTTGTGAGTTTTAAATCATGGGTTACGACAAGGAATAACGGAAAAACTTTTTACGACTAGAAAAGAAAGTCAAGACCAGAAAATAATCAATGTTGGTTCAGGGCTGAAAATAAAAACAACACAGTGCTCTGAACAGTACCTGTGAACGGTAAGTGAGAAGATATTCGATTGCATAATGTACAAGTCCTTGAATTACGCAATCCTGTTGATCCAGTGTTGATATTTTTGATGTGGAGCTTCTTCAGTGTCATGAAACGATGCATTGTTGCAGCAAAACGCCAAAAAAGGCGTTAACACGAGAAGAACATGTGCGATGTTTGGGCTCTAGTTGATTCCTTCTGCTGGACTAGCCCGACCCCTTATTTACGGAGCGTTGGTTTTTCTGTACGGTATGAGAAGTAAACAGGGAAGTTCCACTCGGCAGCCGGGCGGGAAAATTTTTTTTCAAAAGCTGAACTTGCGAAAATGTGTATCTTGAGAGGGCTTGCACGTTACACCAAGCTGAAATCACATAGTTATTATTTATGAATCTCAAGACTATTCCGAGCATGAATGCGTATTCTGGTCGCTGAACTTTTCGTACTGAGCTGGACCGATAGGGGATTGTAAAGACGGTGGGCACAATGTGAATTTAGACATTTTGCCATTGAAATGATTAGAGATGACGTTACAACGAAGTTACAGAACCTTCATCTTTCCGATATGCTGGACCCAAATTACTTGCCCTAGATCGAAATTTAAATCTGCGGTCTGTGCGACTCTGGGTCAAGCCCGCTCGACCGCAAGGTCCGCAAGGCAACGCCGGTGGCGCCCTCGCGCGGCCGAGAGGGCAAATAAGTATCTAGTGCATGGCAAAAGTGGTACCCTATCTTATCAAAACCCAGAAACGCACTGTCCTTCCGAAGAGATTCACATTTCCAGACGAATTTGACACCATGGTCGTTGGCTCGTAAGCCGGTAGTCAGTGGTTTCGCAGCTCGCAAGATCTCCATTACGTTGTTCGTGAAACAAGCCCGGACTCAAACACCATCGAAATAAAATCTCTAATCGGTTCGGTCGACTCGGCTCTCTGATGTCCCCATCCCCATGCAGTGAATGTGGTGCACACAAGCGAAGGAAGCGACGCGGCCCAGCTCCGCATTGATCTGTCCGCCCGATTGGTCGAGCACTCTGGCGAAGTGAACCAGTCGTTGCTGTCCAGCCTTCCCTGCGACAACCTAGGCTAGGCTTTAGGCGGCGTGCAAGTGTCACGCCATCTTGAGTCTGGCATTGCCATTGCCTCATGTTTGGTGTTCGAGTAGGGGCAAGTGCGCACCACGACGGTAAGTCCAAGTCGAGTGGCGTCCACAATCCCAACCATTTCCCCCGGCTTTGACGATCCGTTGGAAGGTTTGGGGCTCGAGGCGCTGTAGTTTGCGGGTCGGAGGGTGCACCCCTGCCTAAGTTATATCGGTTGACAGGTGAGCTTGGAACGGGACGGGGCCTTTCCCCTCCGAAGCTTCAGCTTCCTGGTCAGCTTTTGCAAACGAGTGCCGAGCGACGGATATTATTGTGGCACCGTTACGTCCAGCGGCGCTATTTCTCGAGAATGCTCTCTGACGTTTAATAGCTGCCGTTAAGCTCCATACCCACTGTTACGTCCTTAAGGCTCATCCTAACCTTAACCACCTCCCCTCATAACCAAGGTCGTTCGAGTTCTTATAAACTTACACTTGTCGACTGTGTCTGGTTTGAACCTTATCCTTATGTGGATTTTATGTTTTGTCGTGATCCGCGGTTTCCAAACAAATCGATCCATTTCCTTCATAGCATCGAGAATTTGTGGTTGTGGCTTGTTTTATACTGCCCCACAACAAATCAAGGGTTTAACCAATTCTAGTAATGGCTCTGGAAGCCAGTTTCTATCAAAGTTTCAGAAGCTCTTTAACAAATTTTGAAATAGGCCCAATTTTTTACTTTTTCTGTGTTATCTGGGAGTTTGATGTTACAAATTATCAATGGTTTCTATTTTCTTGCATACACTTGTTATTTCTGTTTTCTTTTGATCTTCAACATTTCTTTAATGTTTTTTGATATATTGTTGCAGAATTACATCTTTACTACGGGGCGCTGACACAGCTTCATGACCTCATGTATTGAAGAAAACTATTCGTTTTCTTTCAAGATTTAACTGAAGCCCCAGCACATTTCCCTGGGGGACAATCTTGACTTGTTTTATGTCTTGGAACCAGTAGGCAAATGGATTTACTTCCCAATGACGGTGACGCCTTCGGGGATGATTTCCCCGATGGTGCGTTGGAAGATACTAGTCCCAAACCGCAAGTTGAGTACTTCTGTAAAATTTGCAAGGAAAAATTATGCCAACCCAGACTTTTGTCTTGTTTGCATACATTCTGTGAGAAGTGCATTGATAAGCTTATAAGTGACGAGTCTGCTAATGGAAATGGCCATGATCACACTGTTGCCTGCCCCATTTGTGAGCAGGAAACCAAGGTAAATAGTGGTTTGAAATCACTCTCAATAGCACCATTACTATTTCACCGTTTTGTTATAAGTGCTAGTTTTCTATGCATATTGCGTCATTTACAGGTTGCAGGCAAAAAAGCAGCCGATTTACCATCTAACTATGTGATGAACAACCTGTTGGATATGTGTGCAATTCGGGATATGACTGTTGTATGCACTAGCTGCAAAACCAAAGAAAATGCTGTTTCTCGCTGCTCTGACTGTGCAAATTTTTTGTGCTCGAACTGCAATACAGCTCACCAGGTAAAGGATGTTTTCTGAGTAATAAAGTAATGTTGTTATTGAGGAACTTCATCAAGATTTAATTAGCACAAAGTGATTAAAATTTACTGAGTCATTATGTATTTTCCTGTAGTTTATGCGGTGCTTTGAGAATCATCATGTTGTTCCCTTTGAAGAACTTCGCCAGCAGACGGCTGGCGAAGAGAAGGACTCGGTTCCAATCCACAAGCCCATCTACTGTTCAGTTCATCCAACTGAGTGTCTTAAGCTTTACTGTCACTCATGCCGGGTAAAGATTCAGCTAGTCAGCTTCCTCTTATTATTTTTTCGACAATTTTTAATCTAATTAACTTTTCAAAAATTACTATTCTAGATTCCAATTTGCAATGACTGTGTTCTATCGGATCATGTTGCTCCACACCATCGGTATGAACGACTAACTGCTACTGCCCCAACATTTCGAGAAGAGATTGAGAGCTTGGCGCACGAAGTTAGGAGAAAGTCGAGTGTTTTTGAAGTAGCATCTTCTGATCTGGATAATGCCTTGACAGAGCTCCAAGCTCAGAGAGATGCTGCTCAGGACCTCATCAAGGAGACCTTCCAGGTTTGTCTTAATGCTTAGAATTGGGTAACGTTCAGCGTCCTCTTGGTGTGAACAGATCTTCATATGTCCTTGTTTATTGCTGCAGAGCTACAAGGCATTTCTCGAGATGTGCCAGGAAGACCTTCTCAAGGAGCTGCACACCATCCACAAACAAAAGGAGTTGCGCATTATGGGCTCATACCACATGTAAGTCTCTGTAACATGGGCAGCCTTTAACCGTCTTGTGTGGTGTTTATTCATGCTGACTTGCAATTGATTGTTTCAGGGTTGAAAAGACAATGGACAAAGTGGATGATGCTTGCAAATTTACTTCTCGTCTCTTGAGGCAAGGAAATAATGTGGAAATTGTCTCTCTGGGAAATATTGTCATTGCTCAACTTCACAAAATTTTGGCAACTTCTCCTGAGCCAGAAGTTAACACCTCCATTGAATTTGTTACTGATGGCACCAAATTCCAGGCAGCTGTGAAGGTGAAAGCTCAGACTATTTGTTTCTCCACATAATGCCTTCCCCCCTTGTTTATTTTATTTTTTAAACCCTCCTGCATTTTATCTGGTATTTTGTTTCTTTTCTAGGCTACCTTTGGAGCTTTGAAATGCCAAACAATCACTCCTGAGGTTCCAACCAGTACAGACACAATGTCTGCCATTTTCCCACCTCCTCCGCCGCCACCTGGAAATGCGAGTATTCAGATAGTACCGCAGTCATTGATGGCGAGGGATGACAGCAGCCCTTCCCCAACATTTTCTACCGTTTCATCCAACGGAGAAAGAACAACTGTGCCTGGTACAGGACGGGTTCAATCCTCCTACAATGCGGCAACTACCTCCAGTTTACTAAATGGCTATGCTAGTTCTGTGACAAGCAGTCCTGTCTCTTCATATGACAGCGAAATAAGTCAAATCACTGGATATGGTGTCACTGCAAAGCCTGAAACACCGACAGCGCAGTCCCCATCAATGTCGTCTTCTCAAAATGCTCTTTGTGCTGGTCTTACAAGTATTCAGGAGTACAATCTAACACAGCTTGCAAGCTTGGCTGACAAGGTAGTGTCAAAGTTTGCTGTTACTTGGATCATTTCTCTCACTTTTCAGACTTTTCTGATTACAACTGTGCCCCTCTTGCAGGTTGATATGGAAGGCCATCCAACTTTGTCCTCAAACCCTACCTCACCTATGTCTTTTAACGACATACTCTCAGGTAACATGGGCTCCCAAAACCAAGCTCTGAAGAACTTACAAGCATTGGCAAAACTTGGTGGAATGTCAATTGGTGATCATGGTAAGAGGCAGGGTAGAACATTACAGCCTGTTTACTCAAACCTCCATGGTGTTTATAACCATTTGCCACTTACGGTGGCGCTCTAAATTATTGTGCATATGTTTCTAGATATGAATCCTGAGTCATTGAATGGTGGATCTGGTTTACTTGGACGCCCGTCCCCTCCTTCGACTCCTATGGGACTTACGTCTCCAACTCTAAGCAGCAAAGGAAACAATTTCCCCATCCTCTCAGAGACAGATGAACCAATTTTGAGTTCTCATTCAGGTAAGAAAGATCTCACTTACTTTTATTCTTCACTTCTCTTGAGTTTTGAGTCATGTAGCTGTTGATAAATGTGAAGCCTTCACTGCAGGATCCTTTCCGATGAATCGTGATGGCGGTAAAGTCATGGCAATGGACGTTCGTCTGAAGTTTGGCACAGTTGGCAATGGCAAAGGTCAATTCAGTAGCCCACATGGATTCTGCCTAGGCTGTGATGAAGACATAGTTGTGGCTGACACTAACAATCATCGCATTCAAGTACGTTATTGAAACAGTGTTTTTTTTGTTTTTTTTTTGAAACTCAAGTTGCATGGTGTGTCATTGGTTCTTTCAGTTCTCTTAATGTTTAAAAGGTTCACTACATCTAGCAAATCCCTTTGAATTTGCAGGTGTTTGATAAAATGGGACAATTCAAATTCCAATTTGGTGTTGCGGGTAAAGAGGAAGGACAGCTCTTCTACCCTCGGAAAGTTGCTGTAATTCGCAACTCTGGCAAGTTTGTTGTTTGTGATCGAGGCAATGAGAGGTCCCGCCTTCAAATATTTACCAAAAATGGCCATTTTGTCAGGAAAATTGCCATTAGGTCAGCACTATTTCAACTGTGTGTGGATTTAATTTCTGTTGTCATCTCTCCCTCTCTAAAAATTATATTTTAACTTCAGGTACATTGAAATTTTGGCTGGTTTGGCCGTCACACAATCAGGGCACATTGTTGCAGTTGATAGTGTTTCCCCCACAGTTTTTGTCATATCTGAAACTGGTGGAATTAGTTCATGGTTCAACTGCAGTGACTATATGATGGAGCCATCTGATATTACTGTGTCAGGTAATGGAACTATAGAGCAATTTAAGTTACCTAGTTTATGTCCTCAATGATAACCCTAGAACCCTTTCCTCTGTTCAGGACGAGAGTTTTATGTGTGTGACTTTAAAGGCCATGCTGTTGTGGTCTTTGATGAAGATGGAAAGTTCAAACGGCGGATTGGACGTGAACCTATTACCCACTATCCGAATGGAATTGAAGTTTCGGATGCAGGGGATGTGGTTGTTGGGGACTCTCATGGTAACAGATTCCATGTTGTTGTTTTCAACAAAAATGGAGAGCAGCTATCAGAATTTGAGTGCCCTCATGTCAAGGTATTTATTGTGGGAGGAAGCATGTTTCCACTTATGATTATTTGTTTTGACTTAATGCACTTTGAATATTTCATTTCATTTGTTGCAGGTATCTCGATGCTGTGGACTGAAGATAACATCAGATGGCTATGTTGTTACTTTGGCAAAGAACAACCACTGTGTTTTGGTCCTTAACACACTTTATGTGGACTGAATATCTTTATTCAGAAAAAAATGTTAAGGTGTCATGTATTTGTAAGGTTACTGAGCTCGTGAGGTTACTTCTTTTCTGATTGGTGATTGGTCTGCCTTCAATTGATTACCATTGTATTTGCCAGGCGTTTATAGCCTAGCTTGATCTCATAGTCATTGTGAAGACATAGTCAAAGTGGATAAAGAGTCATTATGTTTACTCTCATCTCATGTTGATTTGAGACTTATTTCATGCTGAATTATCTTGATTGTGTATTATAGTGCTGGCAATATGCGCATTTAGACTTAAATGTAATTTGTCTGGTATGTGTTCAATGTGAAATTTTCTCACCTATACAAAAGCTTATAGGACATTTTGATGTTATGATTCATCAATCAGAGAAGTGTTATTTACCTATTTTTAGACAGGTCTGGTTCCTATTCAGGCAAGAAGATATTGGTCTCTCCCGAGTTGTCTAAAATGTTACTCTTCAGGGATAAAACCAATTGTACTTTTCACCATATGATAAAGACTGATGATTTTATTTTGTTGTTTTTTATTGAAGGTAATAATTAAGTTTGTACTAATTTAGTTAAACATGTATGTCTAAAATTTCTCGTAGCTCTTTATACATGTACTGCCATTTTGTTTTTTGTTTTTTTGTTTCTCCCCTGATTTTATGTTTCCAAGTTGTTTCACTGGCAAAAGAATGTACATAGCTCTGCTTGTATTACTGTGCATGTTATTGTAATTGAATAATACTAGTGGACATCTTTACAACAGCTGTAAGGAAACATTTCCTTATTATGGAACTTATTGAATTCATTAGCTCTTATGTACTCAGGACAGGTCCCAACTTTCAATCTATCAGATATATATTGTGATACTGTTTTGAAGTGTTATTCATATGTGAGTGTACGTTTTTATGTGTGCATTCCTGTTATACAAGTGACTAATTCTGAACAGAACATGCTGTAAGAAGTGCCATTTTATTTGAGTATTTCTGAATGTTTGTGAGCTGTATAGGTGTGTATTTTTTAAAGTACTTTGTGTGCTCCAAGATGGTATTAGATTTTAAAATATTGCCCTTATTGTGGTGCCTATTATCATATTTTATGACGAGTGAAGGTATTGTTTTCTTTAATCGTTAAGCTAAATATTGTTAAAGATTAACCAGTTTATATTCACGTGTTCAAGGGTGTGTCTATTTATGCGCTCTTTGAGTCATGTGTACCGTACATGTTCATAACTGTATGAATGTGTATGTGTGTATTTACATTTAAAGGAACAGAATGTTTAAATATAAGTTATAGAAAACAAAAATACTTCTGAGAAAAAAAAAAGTTTTGATAGTGTGGGGTACTAGTATTGTAATCCGTACTGCTTACACTCATATGGTTTAAGTAGCAATAAATTAGTTAATAGGATGCCTATTGAATTATTATGAAACTTCAAAAGAAAAAAGAATTTTTATCAGTTAAATGTAAGAGCTCATTCAAGATATGATAGTCAATCTGTTGTAGCTGTTAACTGATTGTCTTATTTCATTGACCATATTTCAATTCTCTATTTTACTTAAGGATGTGGAGGTTAAGTCTGTTTATCACTATTGGTTCTCTTGTCCATTTGATGTGTCTTTTAATTAATGCATTCCTGTTTTGGTGGATCCAACGACTGACGTTGGAGCTCATCAATTTTCAATTTTGTATATCTGATGAGACATTTTTATCAAAGTTTGAACGTAGTCCTGAATGGAATTTTGCCGACTCTGACATCTGTACCTGAATGGACGGAATAGATCTCCATAATTTCCTAATCAAAATCTATCAAGATTCGTTTGAAGGCCTTTCTTTAAAATTGTTCCTAGTAATCTCAAGAGTTTTCTATTGTTGTCTGTAACATTACCTGCCTGATTTCTCTAAACGTTGGCATCATTATTGGTATCAATGCTGCAAAGTTGGCAGTCAGATGGATTTTATAATTTTGTGAGACTTGCAGAGCAGTTATTGTTCAGCATTCTGACTTGATAAACAATTTGTTTAATTTGTACTACCTAGTTCTCCAAGTTTTGAATTATTTTGGTCTTGGAGGCAAAGTTTCATCAGAAACAACTAAATTGGAGTATGAAGAATCTATTTTACCTGGTAACATTTTTTTCAATCTCCTGTGATAATAACGTTAAGCATGAACCTGGAAACGATCCTAGGTGTTCTGGCGTAATTATTGTTTGGTTACAATTGCTCCTTATCAGGACCCTACATTTTTAGTGTCTAACATGTGCTTGAAGTATTTGTAGATAAATCTTTCTAAATTTTAACCTTCACGTGGTATGTAACAAGATTATTAAGAAACTATTGTGATTTTTGTTAGTGGCTTCTTGAGATCATTTTGTAGCTATAATATTTGTGATGGAACAGTTTTTATTGTTCGTAGGATGGCACTTAATATAAACTTGTCTTGTGTGGTATTTTATGGCCATTTTATTATGCCACATAAGGTTTGCTGCGTTTGCTCATGGGTAGAATCTTGATTGAAACAAACTGTTTATGTCTAATTATTGGCAGTTTGTAAATGTCAAATCCAGCTGTCAAATTCTTAATATTGTGATTTAATTTATTTTTTAGCATCGTTTGCAGTATCAATACTATTTGCTAATCATAAGTCAGTTTCTGCTTTAAATGTCTTGAGGTGTTTTCATGACGTTTCATAATTAGTCGGACTATTTTGTCCAAATTCGTCAAATTTTGTTGATACTGCAATGAAGAAGGTGAACTTCTTTTGGCCAAAGTCTGCAACTCCTGTGTCCTGTGCATCTTCTCTGGTGATAAATACCTGTTAATCATCCTCTCTGAGGTGCTTTGCTTTTGAGAAAAAATCTCCTATTCCTATCTCTATTCTTTCTACTAAATTTATCATTTGGAAAAAAAAAAAAAAAGGCCCAATTTGTAACATTGGTAAAGAGATTTTGTGTTTTCCTAGAGACGTTCTTACGTCAAATCCGAGTGACACTGCTCTTTTACTAGATTGTAGGTTTCTATTGTACCTTGTGTTCCCTTTAATACCAGAGTTGGGTGGGTTTGCCTATCAGTGCAGTTAGAGCATAACCAGTGTTTTGGGCAACCGGTCTAATTCAGAGTTTAATTTCATTTTCCTTGTTATATTTTCTTTGTTACGCACTTTTTCACGGTGATTTGAGTTTGAGTCATGGGGGTATCCAGTGTAGAAATGAGGTGTAAAGAACTCAACTTACTTATAGTCTGAATTGTCATGGTCTGTACATCTCCCATTCAGTAAGACACTTGGTCTTTGTATTTAATTGTGTGTATTGAAGTTTAAATTTTAATTAAGCAACATACAGGGTAAAATCTTAATTCTTAGCATATGAGAGAGGTGAAAGGGGCAGATTTCTTAGGTAAGTGGTTGTTTTTCAAAGCATCTGCTTCGTCTGTGGGAACAGTTTTATTCTCTTCTTTTTGTGAGGGAGTTGTTGGTGAGCTGCGCTCATAAGTTTTTGTCTTATTGTAAATCTTAGTGGTCTGCACTTTTGCCAAAACTTTTCCATGATGTGGCCTTGTCTGACAGGATGTCCAAATTTTTTCTCCTCTGCACTTGGGTTCATGTGCTGATAAGAATAGGTTGAACAAATGTTTTCTTGATGCTAAAGGGATTAATTGCTAAGTTGTTTCATTCAGCCTAGTATGTGAAGCTATGTTCCCTGCTAGTCGTTTTTTGTTCAGTTCACCTTTGAAAACCCAATTGAAAGTCAACATATCAGAATTAAAAAGTGCATACAAATATATTCATGTATATATGTATAGAAATTTTTTTATGATAGTTGCCCCTGTTGTCACATTTTTGTGAAAGTGTTTGATGAAAAACGTTCAGGCTGGTTGTGTTTGTGTAAATTTGCATGTTCGATTTTTCGTTGTTGTTGTTGTTATAATCTTGTCTTCCTTTGAACAAGGTGACTCCACCTCTTACTGTATACTCAGCACTTAAAGGGAGGTGTTTCTTTTATTATTCCTCAAAATCCTTTTGGTTTCGATAACTGTTTTGACACCCTTGCTCTTTAACATCCCTACTTATAAGAAATGAGACCAATCCTTAATTAGACTTTGCATTGATTCTGTGTGTTTTGAGTAATGCGTCCCCGGTTTCTATGCTCCAACTGCATTAGGGAAACGCTATTAGTGTCTTGTTTGTAATATCTTAAGTTAAGAACTTTTCTTTTTTTTTTGTTGATATTTATGTAGGCACAGTTTCTCTTTTCCATATCTTGTCATTTCACTGAGTAGTTACTCCTCAGCAGCATTCTGGTCAGCAGCATTTAGAGATTCCATGCCTTATTTGCAAGCATCACATATGGTTCACAAAGGTTATTGTTTCATGTCTCAGTTGCAAACAGCTTTGAAAGCACCTGCACTCGTGAAACTGTTCAAAGTTTTGAATCAGCTTTTAACATTTTAGGATTGTCGGTCATGAAAGCCTCTCTGTGATCAAGTGCAAATTTCTGTAAACATCCCTTTATTGTCATCCATGTACTTTTGTGCTGTGTGTTAAGGAATCAAGACTTTAATTGATTTCATTTTGGCACACGTTTAAAATACTACAAGTCTTCTTTTGAAAAAATTATGAAAGATGTGATTACTTTAGAACTAAAATGTGTTGCAGGTTATGTAGGATAAGTGGAAAATCTATACAACTCTCTCTTTCTAAGAATTTTTATGAGTTTTTTATAAATGCTAAAATATGCTAGTGGCCTGTAAGTGACCTTTTACGCTTTTGGATATTTTCTAATTTTACAGGGAAAGAAAGTGCCATTTTTAGTAACCATTAGTACTGATTAATGTGACATGTTTATTTGCACATTAAGATTTTGCGCCTGACCTTAAATCTTGTTGAGAAACAGGCTTTTTCTATTCTGACTCTCTAGAGAAATGTTATTTTCATGGGATGCTAAACATGCTGGCATGATGCATATATGTGTGCGTACGATCTGTGTGTCACTCCTTTTCAAATTTTAGAGACTAAATATTATTGAGAGCCTGCTTTTGGCAATAGTAACCAAGTTTTACCTTTGACTGAATGGGCAATGGCAATATTACTAGGTATTTGTAGAGGCTTGTGTAATCATGCATGTGTACATATGTTTAAATTCTTCTTCCATATGATGGCTAAAGCCCCCAAAAGGGAAAAACTGTGTTCAAAATTTTGTCCTTTTATTTGAAGCAATAACTCAAAAAAGTTACCACCTGCCCCGAGTTGGATTCAGACATTTTTGTTTGCCTGGACAATGGGGTGCAGCTCGTTAATTGTTTGGTTTTGGTCTCTGTCATTTGTCTATAAATATAATACTTAGTTTTACAACCCTTGCATGGGTGGAAGCCTTTTGATCAGGAGCGCTATGAGTCCTGTATGACCAAAGAAAATTTATAATTCTATTGATTATTTATAGCATTTGAAAATTTAAATTATTGATTGTTAGCTTTTGTGTGAAAGATATGCTGAATTCTTTTGCCCATTTTGATGTAGAAATTGCTTGTTGCACCTCCCTGTTGCACCATTGTTCTCTGGACACTTGTTTACATGTTTATGTCTGCATTGTAATCAAACATTTAGAACTTATCTCCATTAATGAATTTGTAACAAACATTCAGAAAGACAAAAAAAAACAAAAAAAAAAAAACAACCATTTTTTTCTGTTGGGGTGAGTTTGAAAGTCGTCATTCCCTCCCCCCCCCCCCCATTTTCCCTCGTTTTGTAACTTTGGTTGTTGTGTTGACCAAAATGTGATTTATTTTCCTCCTGACTAACACTTATTGCTGAAAGGCATCCTTCCATTCTCTTGCTCAACCAAGTTTTATTTTGTTGTTCCAGTCAGTTTAATTTCAATGTACTTTCTTTGTTGCTTGTACAGGAACAATTTGTATAGTCTCGACATCATTGTAGATCTCTCTCTCTCTTTCTGCCTCTCTTTTGTCCGGCCCCTATTGCACAACAAAAAGTACGTGTGCTCTGCTTTTTAATGTGTAGTGTAGATGAAAGATATGGTTTTGAGGACGTTGCCTTAATTATTGGTAATCCAATTCTTGTTCATGTGAGCTGTTTGTTGGAACTCTAGTTGTAGCACTGAAGTTCATTGCACCTATGAGTTGTGGGAAGTCAATTTGTGTAACAAAGGATAACCAGGGTCTTAAGTTCTGTCATTGGTGAATTTTTGTCTGTGACGAAGATACTCTTCTTAAATCTTCGCTGAACTTATTTCTTATCTTTCGGAGTCACGTTCAAATGTCTTTTACCATATTAAAAGATATCTTTATTTTGTATTGCATCAAATGCTTTGTTTTCAATGTTCCTGTATTTTCAGACGTTATTTGAGAGTTCTATTGTTTAAATGCTATCTATGTATTTCCATATTTGTGTTCCTGGAGGAGATACTCCATGTAATGTATTCTAATTTCTTCAGGTTAACATTGAGCGATTATGTGGTGTTTGGTAGTCTTATATGCTCAATATTTCAAGTATGGCATAAAATTAAACACCAATGAATGCCCCTACTTAGTTTATTCCTTTATTTTTTAAACATTTCGTTGAGGTTGTAATGACATAAGGCTTTAAATGTAGGTAATTTGTTAACTTGTCATTTTGCTCTAACTGTCTTTCACTCTGCTTTATTCTTCTATATTATTAACATGTCTCCTGTTTTAGTGTTTTTGTTTTTTCAGTGGTTTGTTTGTGTGTGATTAATGTGTGAAAGATATGATTTGTTACATTTTAGCAATTTGTTTCTTTTTTTTTCCACCATTCCAATTTTATGTAAAAAAAAAATGTTATGTATGATAGATAATGTCTTTTTTTTCAATGTGAGGTTGTGAGCTACACTCTTTGAAGTGTCTTGATATTTTGTATCATGAAAAATGATCCTGTGTACAGTCCTTATGAATGTAAACAAGCTATTTAGCATTGGACCACCAGTGTTATTTGCATTCCAGAGGAAAGCTAGATCTGATGGTCCAAACTCTGTTTGTTTAGAAAACTACCAACAAACAATTTTTTTTAATAGTCAAAGGTTACCTTGGAGAATGTAACTTACAAGCTTATATTTTCTTTGTTAGTTAATTAAGTACTTATTGTTTGTTTTAGCCCCTCCTTTGATACACTGTTCCGACTGATCCTGATGCACAAGTTAAATTTTGACAAAAGTTAAAGGCAGTAAACAAATTTTGCCTGATGATGGCTAATGTCTTGCCGACATTTTCTATCGGTTATGATGATGTTTTAGTAGTGCAGATGTTATCATGTAGTCAGTTAAAGTACAAATTTTTTGTTGTTAATTTCCTCCAGCTTATAACTTCACTGAATTAATTTTTGGTGTCTTGTTGTCTTTGTGTACATATGCTAACAACAACTTTACCATTTGTTGTAAATTCAACTCTGGTTGTTTTTTTTTTTCTTTGTGAAGTATCTCAATAATAATAATGTATAAGTTCAAATTCTCTTCCAGATATATTACTTAACTTTTCTCTTATCTAAGGTGGTAATTTTTTCCACAGCATGTAAGCACATTTTTTTTTAAAGAAAATAATTGGTCTTGTACCATGCTCAAGTTAATGCTGTGCAAAATTTCTTGTGAAAATAATTTCCAAAGGATTTTGTATGCTAGTCTCTTGTTTTGTGGAGTGTGTCAAATAGGTTTTCTTTTGTGACCATTAGGATTCATTCATTTTCCCCCTTGGCCTTCATTGTATTGTTGGTTTGAGTTTTTCTCAACATTTTAATGAAACAACATTGTTCTTGAAGTAGCCTTTTGTGACTATATATTGTCCATCTACTTCAAATTGTGTGGAGATTTTTTTTTTCAAAGTTAGGGTAGTTAAAATTTATATTACTTGAGGTGTTTAGCCTCTAGATTCTTTTAAGGACCTCATCTAAACGCAATAGCTATTGGTGTTTATTTGTTAATCGTAATGAGGATTATTAATTCATTATTGTAGTTACAATGGCTGTTGTATGATTTTGTTTCCATGTATGTCCAAGTTGAGTAGTATGATCGAGTTTTTAACAATAAAGTGTTCTGAAGTTCCCACTCGAGTTTTATTGTTCGTTTTTCTGGTCGCCTTGATCGATAACCAATTAATGAGGAGGCGAAGGGACAGTCCCACCTCCCCATCCCTCCGCCTCGCGCCCTCGGCCTGCCCTCGGCGGCCTCGACGCCCGCCGGCCTAGCCGTCCGTCCCGTCCCGTCGGTTCGTAATCTCCGCCTCCGCGGCGACCCAGGGCCCAGCGGATGCGGAAGGGGTTGTCGGTGTCGGTGGGTAGCGTTGCGTCCGGTCCGGCCGCCGGGTAGCGAGCAGCGAGCGTGTTTGCGAAGCGCGCCTGCTGCTACTGCTGCATCGCGGAGCTCCACCACCGCCACTACAGCCAGCCCATGGAGTTTGTTTTCGGCTGAGCTGGGAAGCACTTTAAAGTCGGCGCGGACGTAATTGTTGTTGCCAAGTACGTTAACGGGTTGAATCGGACTAAGAGCTAATTGTTTGCGGCACTACAGTGATGTCTTTCCAGTTTGTACTTGTTGAGGGGGCTACGGCGAGTAAAGTCGTCGTCATTCAGTGGCCCGGGCCGTTCGCTCCGCATAAGAGTCGCATCCCCTACCGGGCCTTTGTCCCGAGGGGTCCATTTCATTGTCGTCTCGGGCCGGGGGTTGTCGCCACTATGAATGGGACTTGTCTATGAATCAGCAATCGGCACGGCGCCTTTGTTGTCAGTGTTAGGTTAGGTTTATTGCACCTAGAAAGAGTTTTTGCCGGTCGCGCCGAGCCGGGCTTTGGGTTGGAGGCTGGCCCTCCGCGTCCTTGTGTGGCCCCCTACACTCGCGGAGCGCGGACCGACCGGGCGGCGCAGCGCACACCGACCGCGGTCACGTTGACGTTGCCGTCGCCATTGCTGCATGGCATTATTTGTTCCAAATTTTAGGAGGTAAGGTCCGCGGAATCGGCGTGCGGCCGCGGAAAATCGGAGAGCGGAAGGAGGGTCGGCTGTCGCTGGGCTGGCGTGCGACCGAAGTAAAGGGTTAATACCGTCTGTCTGCCCCGAGCTGCTCACCCCCTTGGCGACCAAATGTGTATTTGTATTGTGCGGAGGCCCGCGGGCCGAGACGTGCTGTGCCGGCCGGCTGTTTTATACGCCAACGGGATCGTAAAGAAACCCGAACGCTGCCCGGGGTTTGTGCCTGCTGTTTTTCGGGGCTCTTGGGAGAGGCGTTCCCCCGGTGCGGCGTCCGTAGTCGCTATCACGCAGTAGAAAATGCATTGTTTGTATCGCCAAGTCGGGTAGTGCATGTGCTCGACAAAGCTGCATTTTTTTTTGGATTTGCAAGTCCGTGGCTTGTGTTGCTTTTTGGGGGTGTTGACACCTTTAGGAAGCCACAGGATCATGTCCATGGGTTGTGCGGCGAAAGCTGCAGGTTGATGATAAACCCTCTAGGCGGGAGCGTCCCCCTTAGTTCGTAGGTTAGGAGAGCACAGGTTCCTGTTCCTCATCGTGGATGTTCTCGGACCTCTGGGGATTCAAGCCTTGTCTCTTTCTCTTTTAATTTTTGTAGCTCCATCCCCGTTTCAAATTCCGAATAAAGACTCAAAAAACTTTTGGAGCCAACCGAATGGAGGTGTTACCTGCTATTTGTTTCACCTGTAGTACTCCCTGTCTTGTCACAAGATACAACTTGGCCATATCTTTTGTTCCTTTGTAGGACTTTGACAGTAATTTTTGTGTGGCAGATTAACCCAAAATGGCTGAAGGCAACGGGGAGCTTTGTGGAGACCTCAAGCCAAAAGTTGAACGAACAGAAGACTTTCAGAAACTGATTGATTGCGGTTTAGATGAAAAAGTAGCCGCTAAGTTGGATGACATCTACAAAACTGGTATGTTGTCAAATGTCTGAACCCCGGAGAAACTACACCTTGGTTCTACATCAGCCAACATCACCCAACTTCTCTAACTTGCACTATCGCTTTCAATGTCATGATAGCACTCATCCTCTGTGTAGCAACTTGATGTCCTCTCGCAAAATCTATATCACATTCATCAGCATGATGTCTTATAAGATTCAATTGCTGTTTGCAAATGATGTCATGTTTACACTACTCTGAGGTTTCAATTTTTAAATTTCTTTTTTTTTTTCTATCAAAAATTAATAACTTAAATATTTATTTTGGGCATGGTTACCAAGGGGTCAGTCATTGGGAATTTCTTTCAGGATATCAGGCAAACCGCTTATTTTCCAGTGTCTTTTAATCAACTTGTGTTTCTTCTTCCTTTCTGCTAACGCTGGCTTTTGTAATAAAAAATTTTCTCTTCCAAAGAACCTTGTACAAAAGGACCAGGTTTATATGAGAGATAAAAATTTCCAAGCGGCATATTCATTTGTCCATGTTGATAATTGCAGGGAAACTTACCCATGCCGATTTGGATGAAAGGGCTCTTGATGCTCTGAAAGAGTTCCCCATCGAAGGTGCTGTGAATGTACTGACACAGTTCCTCGATGCCAATCTGGAGCATGTATCTAATAAGTCTGCCTATCTCTGTGGAGTCATGAAAACATACCGCCAGAAGAACAGAGCGGGCCAAGCCGCAGCTCCCCCTGCAACACAAACAAATACAGTTAAAGCTCCAGATGAAGAAAAAATTAAAGTGAGTCATTCTTGAAAAATAGATGCACTTGTTTTCTTTTGGAAATGAGCTTTGAAGTGATTGGTTTGAATTTTGACTGTCTGCTTGAAGGCAATACTGGACAGGACTGGCTACTCACTTGATGTGACCACAGGCCAGAGAAAGTATGGAGGACCACCACCAGACTGGAAGGGGGCGGCACCTGGCAATGGCTGTGAGGTAACGTTGCAACGCACTGGAAGTACTATTATGGCTTTCTGCAGGATCCAGTCCTGTGCACACAGTGATGGAGGGACTCTTATTTCATATTTCATTTTGTGGGGCTGGTTTTCAGGTATTTTGTGGCAAGATACCGAAGGACATGTATGAAGATGAACTCATCCCTCTCTTTGAAAAATGTGGTACGATTTGGGATCTGCGACTGATGATGGATCCTATGTCTGGTCAAAATAGAGGTTATGCTTTTGTTACCTTTACTACCAAGGATGCTGCGCAGCAGGCTGTGCGAGAGGTAAGATTTCTCGCAATCTTTTTCTCCCCAACAGATTGCTCATGTTTACTTGAAATCTTCTTGAGGGAGCCTTAAGGGTTGAAATTTGGTAGATGTCAGGTGGTAAATTTGCATGTTTTTTTTTCTTTCTTTACTCCCCTCTTTTTGTGAATCTTTGCTGAAATGTGGAGATGGGTTCAACTTAACATGTTTGGCTTTAGTTGGGTCTGTCCTATCAGATCTGCAGTTGACCAAACATATTTTCTTAACGGTTATTTTCCAATCTGTTATGTCACTTGATCAGCCTCTGAGAACATTGTGAACAAGGCCTGCCCACTTACGTCTGTGCATGGAAAACAGCCATTAGTTACCATTTTATTTTAATATGAATTGTGCAGAACCTTGGTTGATTGCTAATTTGCTTTTACATAATCTCTTAAGTTTCCCTTTAACTATGTTGGCTGCATCACCTTGCTGTCTTCTTGTCTTGGTTCCTTTTACAGTCTCAGTTCAGCAATCGCTCTAGGCCTTGACTTACCACTTCTGCCTTTGACATGGCATGTATTTGTCTGAGTACTTTGGCTATGAATGTGTGTCTGTCTCTAATGGCATGCTGTCCATACATTCTGAAATTTTTGTCAGGGCTGCTGTGGTTGTTTTGAATATTGAAGGTGAAGCTAAAGTTTGATGCTAAATCACTCATTTCCTTAAACAAATAGTCAGGAAGAACCTATCTTCTAATTCTAGCAAAGTGGTTCATTATAAAGTTTATTTTTGCATTCCCTGCACTCCTTAACTAAGACTTTCTTCATCCGTCAATTCATACGTTTCCCATAGTGTTTCAGATATGTTGTGCAAGAGCCTAGGGATTTGCCGCATGTGCATCTATTGTACTGCAACTCTTCCAGGTCTCCTCTTTGCTACAAGCAAAACCAGAACTGGAAAAAATAGTTTGTTCTAGTCTATTCTTGGCATAGTGGCAACATATTTGTACACGCATTTTGATCCTTTTCTCCCCTCTTAAATTTAAATTATCATTATTTACGCCCCCTGTAAAACTGTGCTGCAGGGTTGCTTCACTGGCCAACATTGGGGTGTTGTGTGGGATGTGGTTTCAGCTATGGTGCTTGCTCTTGTGGTCGGGATTGATAACCTATGAGCATGCCTGTTTTGTAATTTTTGTATTTATTTTTTATTGTAGTTAGAGCAAAATTGTTTATTTGGTGGTTTCCTAAATTGTTTGGTTTTTATTATTTCCTTTACACTTTGTGAATTATTCCAAATTTGGCATGTTTGTTCTTTTTTTTCTTTTTCATTCCACAGCTTGATAATTATGAAATCAAACCCGGCAAGAGTCTGAAAGTAAACATTAGTGTTCCAAATCTGCGACTTTTTGTGGGCAACATTCCAAAATCAAAAGGCAAAGACGAGATACTGGAGGAGTTCAATAAATCAACAGGTAAATGGACTTAAAAATTCGTAAAAAGTTGGCTGTTAGGAGGGCTGGATTGCAATTGTTCGGGTTTAAGTGATATAGGGATCAGGATGCTAAACTGCTGTGTCCCTCAGCTCTAAATTGAACTCCTATTCGTGTTTTAAACTGTCATTATGTACTATTGTAGGGTCATAGCCTGCTCATGGGTGTTTTTGTTTTGCTGATTGTGTTGAATGTTGGTGGTTGCCCCTTCCACCCTCATGTGCAGCCAGCAATTTTGACCAAAAATGGGCATAATTGGCATTCTTGCAGCTTTATGAGCTTGAAATACAAAAGGGGAATAGATTGGTAGTACAATTTCATTTAACAGTCATTGATTATTGTTAGGAAATATTCCTAAAACTCGAGATCAGAATGAACTGTTGCAAGAATGTTTCAAACATTCGCGTAAGTTTACTGGCAGAGACATGTTTTGAGCAGGTGGAATAATTCGGCAGGTTATGAACATAACAATGGAAGAAATTGGATGCTTTAATTTTTCATTGTAATTTCTTTAAAAGGGCAGATATTTCTTCTGGGAACAGCAGAAAGTTTAGGGAAGGAACTCAAGCTAACTTTATCTTTATTTCTTGAATTTTTATCCCGTTATTTTAATTTGTCCCTTGTGTCATTTTGGACTTTGTTTTCCTTCAGTTGTTGGATTTAATTTTTGAGGTGTAATTAGCTAACTGTATATTAGTAGATCTTATCTCTAACAAAAAAAAAAAATGAATTTTATTGTGCAGTTGTAAGTTACATAGTTTGAAGTTTAGTTTGTGACCTAACAACTCTATGAACTTAACATAACGGTTTGCTACATCTCTTGCAGCTGGTCTCACTCAAGTCATCATATACAGTTCACCAGATGATAAGAAGAAAAATAGGGGCTTCTGCTTCTTGGAGTATGAGTCTCACAAAGCCGCTTCCCTTGCCAAGCGGCGACTTGGAACAGGTCGCATTAAAGTTTGGGGCTGTGACATAATCGTGGATTGGGCTGATCCCCAAGAAGAGCCAGATGAAAGCACTATGTCTAAAGTGAGTCCCTTACAATAAGAAATTGTTCATAGATCTTCACTCATTGTCAATTTAATAAAATATTACTTTTCAGGTGAAAGTACTGTATGTTAGAAACCTTACTCAAGATTGTTCTGAGGAAAAAATGAAAGAATCTTTTGAACAATTTGGTAAAGTTGAGAGAGTAAAGAAAATTAAAGACTATGCATTTGTTCATTTTGAAGAACGTGACAGTGCTGTCAAGGTAATTGCAGCTTAATTCAGAACCTGATCAATCTAAATCTGCTTCATATATTATTAAACTTTTAAGCAAGTTGATATTTGTGTTTAAGTGAAATGCTTCATGTTGCTTATCTGAAATTTGCAGGCTATGGAAGAATTGAATGGAAAGGATATAGTCGGTGGTGGTTCAGCTATTGAAGTGTCACTGGCCAAGCCTCCATCTGATAAGAAAAAGAAGGAAGAAATGTTGCGAAACAGGGAAAGAAGGATGATGCAAATGATGCAGATCAGAGGAGGGTAAATGTCATGGAGGGTTGTGAACTGCTTGTTTGAAGAGTTTTCACTAAGTACAAATTCCACGATTGTTGCAGCATGATGCCAACCCCAATCCCCATGCGAGGGCCTGGTGGCTCTGGACCTAGGAATAGTGGTGCTGGTATGCGAGGACCCATGGGCAGAGGCGACTATGGTGAGTTCTCTTTACAATCGTTCTGTGTCTAATTTGGCTTGACAACTAACGGGGTTTGGGTGGATGTGACAGCGACGGTGCCTCATTCTCCCTTGAAGTATCTAATTAAATATGTTCAAAGTTTAGCGGCGGTTTCTGGGGGAGGACCATGGGGGCCATGCCCCCTCCGTAGAATTCAATGCCTTAATGTGTGAAACGGCCCCTCGGATAAGCTTTTCTAGAGCTGCCCTTGTTTCAGTTCAGGATTGGTCCCATTTGTAAAGACTATCAAACATGCCTGCAATGATTTTTTAATTTAAAATTTCCACTTTATTTGCTTCTATTACTTTTTCAACTTTTCTGTTTCACATGTGGATACTGATTCATTCAACAACTACTGCGTAGGCATGCCAAATTGTGTCTCTTATTTTACAATGGTCTTGTGCAGTCCAAATTTTGCACTTGTAGGTGTTCTGTATACTGCCATCAGCTGTACAGATGTTTCATGGCATGGCACAAACCAATTTGCTTGCCATCATTCAGCACCACTTCATTCTAGCAATGTGTCTAGCCTACTCTCTCTAAATTTTATTAATTAATCTATATGATATGATGAGAACTGTGGTGACATTTACGATTGTTCATAGATTGAGGTTGAAATGTCTCCCCTAATTTAATTTGATTATTGGCTGGCATAATGTTACTTTGCATTCTCATTTATTCGTGCCAATCAGTTATGCTTTTCATCTTGATGTCATATCTGTTACTATCTGTGTTTTTTCTCTTTCAAACAATTATCATCACTTGAATAAATACTTCAGAAATATTGAGCTTGGGGTGATGGGTGCTGTGCAGAATTGCATTGGGTGCTTTATGTTTATGTGTAAAGAACTGCAAACTCTTGGTCTGAGTTGTGTAGTGTGTTCTTAATAAGGATGCAGATAAATATAGTTGTAATTTGAAACTTTGAAATCAATCCAGGTTTTGGTAGTGAGTGTTCCAGATGTGGTCATACAGGTGTGCTCAATATTTAGTATATTTTGAGCTGTTTGTTCCACTGTGTCATGCGATCTAATCTGACACTGAAACGAGCTATGAATTATGTAACTCTTGCAACTGGCATTGTCCTGTCTGTGAAGGAAGCACCCTTCACCCTATCAAATTGTAACCTGCTTAATGTGGTATATTTAAAATTGACGACCTAACTGCTTGTTTGAGGGTCAGGACGGTACAATCCTTGCAATTGTTAGTCATCCCTTGAAGAAATGTGACCAACAATGTCCCTTGTGTATTAAGGATAGCTGTAAAAAAAATGGAACATTTTCTGAATCTGTCTCTTCTGTTAACAAACTTCTGGTTAAGTGTTCGTCCTAGAATTATTTAGTTCGACATTGATGAAAGAAAGCTCTTTTGCCATTAGTCAGTTTTCCTTATGACTTCCAAAACATAAGATGTTTGGAGCTCTCTCTCCTTCACCCTTCCCCAATGATTAGTAGATTTATTTTATTTTGAAAAATGGTGGTAGACCTGAAGCTTGATCTTCCAGTTTCTTTTCACTATTTTTTTTACGGCATGTGTTTTCTTTTCCTAATTTTTAATATTATTTGACGCTGTTTTTAAAAAAAAGAAATTCAGAAAAGTTGGTCTGATTTTTCACGGTGGCTAAAATTGGGCTTGTTTGTTCTCTTTTTTATTTTAGATTATGATTACGAGTATTTCGGTTATGGGGATTACCGAGGCGGCTACAGTGATCCTTATTACGATGACTATTACCGCTATGAGGATTACTATTACGATATTCCGTCAGCAGCTCCACCTGCCAGAGGACGGGCGAGGCAACCTCAGCCGGTGGGTTCCTTTGATTGCTGAAATTAACGTCATACTTCTGCTTTCGTATTAAATTTTTTAAGAATGTGGCATAGCTTGTGGACAATAACTTAGTTAGTTATCTTTTCTTTGACCGTGCTATGCTACATTCAACTTCAAATCATATCTGAGGCATTGTGTATCAGACCCAAGCCATAGAAAGAACTTTCTCAGTTAGTTGGGGAAAGTGATGCCCACATCACTTGTTAGTAAGTTGACATGACTGGGCTTTGGTGCAAAGAGCGAAACCTTCGCGCCATTCATTGGCTCAGATATGATGTTTGTAGTTGAGGGTTATCCAAATTCAGTCAGATGTGTCACTGTGTTGATCCATTTGGGACATATTGCTAATGAGATTAAATTTTTTATCCTGACCCTCAGAGACGCATGTTTTTGTTTGTGTTGTTCCTTTTCTTTTTAATCTTGTACATCCGCTGTTAATTGTTTTGTCTGTTGGCTCGGGCTTTGAATTAATGCTTTTCGCTTCATTAATGCTTCTGCTCCTATGTGCCAATGTAGCAGATTGCTATGATTTCGCCCTCTGTTCAGTGGTAAAGTGCACTCTTGTTTTCTGTCACAATTTGTGTAATCCTGCTTTGTATATAGCCGTTGGCACTGTCAGAGAGGCAACGTTGGTATTTTGTTGCACCATTTGCAGCATTGTCGCAACAGAGGCACTTCTGGCATTTGATCAGAATCTGAAACATGGTTCTCGGTCACCTCTGTTTAATGATGACAAATTTCTCTTGGAGCAATTGTGTTCATCCAGTCTAGAAAAGTATTAATCAGTGCCCCTTTTTGTTAAATGTAACCGGAAGTGTTGCTGCAGACTGCAAGATTAAAGACAAAGGATAAAAACAAACTATGTACCTTCATTTTGACATGTTTGAAGTGGTTGAAATTTAATCTTTTAGCCTTTGTTTTGCAATATATCAACACATGATATGGTACTTAGGTGTATTGTTGCACATTTTAGAATTTTGTTCCTAAATTTTATTCTGTGTTGACAGTTTTTTTTGTACAAATATTTACATACTTTGCAGTCAACATTGTTGAAGTATTTTATTGTCTTTTTCTTACTCAATTTTTATTTGTCGTTTTAATGCACCTTTTTTTCTGTATTGTTTGATAAACGTTATGATGCCTTAACATAAATAACTTAACGTTTCTGCTTCAAGTGCGGTAGAGAGGTCCTTGTTTCCCTGTTTGGCAGCGAGGATTGACGCTGACTGTTCTGATGCAGGGTGGCCGTGGCCGTGGGCAGGGAACAGCAGCGGGTCCGGGCCGTGGTCGGGGCGCTGGTCCGGGCACGGGTCCGGGTCGTGGGGGTCCGGGGGCGCAGGGCCCCAGGGGGGGGCGCCAACCCGCAGCCTCCGGGGGTCGTGGGGGTCCGCGGTCGGGGCCCACCGGACGTGGGCAGGCCCGAGGCAAGGGAAGTTTGTCAGGTGAGGATGGTCTGTATCTCCACTTTTTTTATTTGATTTTTTTCTCATTTTTTGTTGTTGCTTTAGTCGGCTTATTTTTCTCCTTGATTTGCAAACTGTGTCGGCAGGGCAAGGCAGGCAGATCAAGTGTTCTGAGTTTCTGGAAACATATGACAAAATATTTCGTTGATAGTAAGTTGAATAACTGGGATTGCCCTTAAGATTGTAACTATAACATTTTTTTTTTAACAGTTTTTATTTTCTATCCCTTGAAGTATTATCTCGTCTAAAGTTGTACTGTTAAATTTGCTCTGGTATTTGTTTTGCCTATGCTTTACCGGCCAGTTTTCAGTCATTGTTTAAAATAATGTTTCCATTCAGCTTTGTTGCTTTTACATTGGCCCTCATGCTCCATTCATTCCAGACCACTCACTTCATATTCCTCTTATGTAATTCATTTTTCATTGAACAGAACTGCCTAACTAGCTTGCTAGTCTTGTTCTTTTGTATAAATACCCTTGTTGTGACTTTAACTTCTTATTTTTGAGTGTCTAAATTGATTTATCAAAGAATCCTTTTTAAAAAGTCATTCATGCCTTTCCTTTTTAACAAAATTATAAAATTTATGTATCATTTTCAAAATCTTTTCAAATGTTTATAATTAATGGACCTTCTTGTTTTGATTGTTTGAACAGGCAAGCGCAAGTTTGATGGAAGTCACCAGAACCAGGGGGAAACAAAGCGTCGTTACCAGAACTCTTGGAGTAATTCTCCAAACACCCACCAGCATCTCAACAATGCCTATAATAATGTAGGCATGAATGGAGGTGGCTTTGGGTCGAACGCTGAGCCACAGTTTTTCCAAGATACTTTCACGCCTTGGAGTTAAACTGCCTGATGTGGACTGCATTAGTGGAATATGACTGTGACTGTTGTCCGAGCAGCCCGTCCATTGACTTGCTTAATATCCGTGAAACGGAGCTAAGTCAGAAAATGTAAAATGTGTGCGAGCATTTGAGGCTCCAGAAATACATGGACCACTGTGAAGTAGTGTGGTCTACAAGTGATGTAAAGACTTTTTTTTATTGTTAATGGTGGTTGTTGAAATGGAAGCTGGAAAGGGAGGGCTACAAAAGATTACCATAATAGCCCTGTCTTTTTAGTTTCCATTGGATAGTTATTATCATGAAAGCTGTCATTGTCGATTGTTGCTCATTATTTGAAACCTTAAACATCTACCAGTACCATGTGTGTTTATGACTGATAAAACGGCAAAGAGAGCTGCAAATGCCATAGGAAACTAATGAACTAAGTATCCACCACCTCTGTATGGAAACCACATGTAAGTGCACATCTGGTCTTATTTGGCTCACCAACCTCATCTTATTGCTTGTCACACAGTATCATGAGACCTCACTATTTCAAACTGTTCGAAACATGTCGTAAACTCTGTCACCTTCTCACTTAAATTCTAACCTCCCTCTAGTTCTGGAGACAAATATTTTGAGGGACTGTTCAATCATCCAAGAAGTCTCTTGCAATATTCATCATTGCAGCTGATTTTTGTCTTTAAATCTTTGAATCCTTTATTTTCATAGATACTTAATTGAAAGAATGAATGGATCATGTGGTGGTGTATGTTAGGTTGACAAGAGCCTGTTAAAAGTAAAGGACCTGTTTGTTACTTTCTTTTTGTATGTTTACTTTTATTGCCACAAATGTATTTTTTTATAAAGGAAGGGTATTAAATTTCTTATAATAAAATGGCATAATTTTGAAGGCCATGTTATCCTAGGATTGATCCTTAGTCACAGGATGCATTCATGTGATCACCGTATGTACTCCACAACATCAGGATCAAATGTGAGAGTCTATTTTGAATGACGGATGTTACTTGATTATGTTTGTATTTTCAATGGCAAATGTTGTTTGATTGTTTGTATGTCATGCAAAGAGTTCGCACTTGTATCACTGGAGGATTAAAAATTTAAAGAACAAAGCTTTCTCACAAGGAAACAGCTCTTTGCTTTTGTTAGTTTAGCACTTAAGTGTTGAAAAGAACTTTTTTTTGTTTTGACAAATTCTTTGCCACTTTCTGCTTTTCTTTTATTTTTCCCTATTAGTGTTTGAAATTTTAGTGACTTTTTGTCTGTTAGATTGCTTTGCTTTTTCACTTTTAACCTGCCTTTCGAAGTGTTCTTGATATGAATTAGTGATGTAGAGAAAAGAAAGTCTAAATATATTCATTTTAAATAAAAATAAATGGAAAAAAAATGAATTTCTAGATCCATCTGTCAAGATGTTACTTTTGCAGGTCATTATATGAAACTACTCGGTAAGATTTTAAAATAAAATCAAAAATATTCCTGTGAAAAATTTGATGTTTTTAGTTTCATACCCATCAATCATCAATAAAGTACAAAGCAGGATACCCTTGTTCTTTATTTCTCACCTATCGGTTATTTTCACAACCTCTGTTCACTAGTTCCACGAGCTCAGTGCAAAGTGAGGCGAAAGCCCCTCATTTCATACAATGATCTGTAATGATGAGTGGGTGATGAGTGGGTCAGGGGCAGCTAGTATCCTGGAGCTAGGAGCCACTTAACACACTGAGAGTTACACTTAAAACCAGTCTTCTGTCACAAGTAGTTAGGCTTATCCAGCAAACTTGGGGGTGGGGATGGGTTCTAGCCAATAAATGTAGAAAAGTAGGAACCTTGACTCTTATTCTCCTCATTTTAATAATTCTAGAACAGCAACATAAGATCTTTCACACATGTTCAGCATACCTGAAATGCACAGAAGCTACTTGAAAACAAATAATTTGAGATGGTAAAGAATTTGGAAAAACAAATGGTACCAGATAGTAAGGACATGTTACTAGCATCCAAACATGATGTACAATAATAAAACACCTAAAACTATAAACAGAACTGAGTATGTATTTGTACTTAAATGCATGCATATATAAATTTACCATAAATTAATAACATATATATGTACAAAACATAATATTGATGATTGAGTGGCAGAAATCATGAAGTGTTCCACTGCAAAATTTAATTTAATCTGAGTTTGTAGCAGACAGTAATTTTTTACTGCAGGTGCTTAGGATTTCAAACTAATAGCACAAATAAATGCTAGGCCAAAGTCAGAACAAAAAATGGAAACATTTTATAGCAAGGCATGACACCGATAATGACAAGACTCCACTACATGTTCTTTACCAATTTTGGCGCCTAGCCTGGTAACATTCAGTTTTAGTAGAAAGTATCCCATAAAAAATAAACTAAGAGAGCGGTCACTGGACCTTATCACTGGTATCTTCAAGGTAAAATTTGTACAATCAAAATTGAAGTAAAGAAAACTGGGAGTAAGTAACAAGGACCATGAATTAATGTCTGCAATGAGTCATAACTTGAAGTAATTGATGAGTTGTCACTGTAAATCTTGGCAAGGAAATAGGGAAGAAAGAAAGACAAATTAGACCTTCTTGAAGGCCATACGTAATTCTAAGCAGTTCGACATAATGAACGGATTGCAGCCGGCTGCAGCAATCTGGCAAGAAACAAATATTGTCTAAACTGCTTTTTGCATATTGGCAATCAAGAATCTTGTAACCTCAGCAACATCGTCCCAAATCCCCGGCACAATAGATACAGGACTCAGTCTTTACTTCGTTTGGGCAAATTATGTATTATGCACAACTCGTTTGCCAAATGTGACAATCCACATGTTCTGATACTGTCATGACATTTGTGCAATTCCAGAGGACTGTCCATTCATTCACACATGAGTGATTATGATTATGATAGTGAGCATGTATGACTATATACATTCTTCAATTATAAGTGACATAAAATAATTTAATTCTTACGGTAGTTTTGTTCGTACACTATAAACAGGAAAAAAAAATTTACAAGGAAAATATACAGTAAAACAACATTAATTTGTTTAAAACCGATGTATGTACAAAAGTTCACATAAATACTATGAAATATATCAATTATGTACTAACACGTATTTTTGTTGTGTCTTCACAACACTAAAAACAATACAAGCCTTTGACTTTATCATGTCACACATCCTTCTCAGACCCAATTTTACATATAAAACAAGACAGAGTCTTTTTAAAAAAGTGACTGGAGCCCCCAACACGACAGAGCTGATCACACAGATCACAAAAAAGGCTTCCAGACATGAAGAAATGACAGCTGAGGGTGCAGCTTTTGGCAGGCATAAAGCACACTAAACAGATCAGGCCACTTTGCTGTGCAAGATGTGGGTCAAACTGTCAAAGCCTCCTGCAATGGAAGGTGAACATAGTCAAAAATCTTTTAAAACTAATCACAGGTGGATAAGAAAGTACAAGAATTTTTTTAGTGTCTTTCTACAAACAAAAAAACAGAATGAGTTTCTTGGACCAAATTATTAATTTGATTAGAGGACAGTTCATTGATGAAAACATGCACAAAGTTAAAAGGGAACTTGTTAAAATTCAGGTGAAAAACATTTATCACACAGGTTCAAATGGTCTTCAGTACATGAGAAACTTATCATCCCTCTCACCAATAAAATAAATCAGGAGCTTCCATGGAAAAAATAAACTGCATCAACAGTCAAGGCAGATCAAGCCAAACATATTTTAAACATGTTCCTTGCTGTATTAATAAAAACTATTGCTTGGGGAAAAACATTTGTTAAAATACTAACAAACCTTAAAAGATTAAACTGACCTAGGCAGAAACATCCAAAATTCCAACCAAACAAGTAAAATCAAGCTAACGCGTCTCCTACCATACAATTCTTTGTAATAGTAAGTTTACATCCAAAACATAATAGTAATCAAAAACAAATTTCATGTTTCCAATAAAAGTTGTCATCTAGGATTAAATACAATCAAAATACCAGACACAACTTTCTTGACAGGAATGGCAACAACATTAATAAAGTTAAAAAATACATAATGAACCTGAAAAATTGATAATGCTCCCATTAAGCGCGATCTTAAGTCACAAATTTACAGTTTTAAAGCCCTACCCTAGTCAATAGGAGCCTAAAATATGGAGCAACTTCATTGGACTTCAACATATGCTCAATACCAGTCTTGAAGAGAAAATGGGAAATTAACTTAATGTTACATCACAATAAGACACACAAGTGTTGTCCATAAAATCATGCACAAGACACAAAAAGGTAAGATTTCTAGCTAAAATGGGGACCAGGAGCCCTAAAGTCAAAGTTGGAGTTACAAGGATCATTTCACTTATTACAAAAAGAAAACTAAGCAGATGGACACTATGACTCCATAGAACCATCTAGATCTGATGGCAAATCACCCTCAGACTTAAGTTCTTCCTCTCGTGGAGGTTCATCCAATTTCTCCATGTACTTCAGAACAGTTTCTGTGGCAGATAGACCTCGACTACTGCCTGTGGCCTGTAAGGAGAAAGCAAATTTCGATCAATTAATAGAATACCAAGTTTTCGCAGAACTGTTCGTTGAAATTGGAAAGTGGAGGGGGGTTAAAAGTAATGGTGAAGGAAAAAATGGCTCACACTTACAGTTACAGTAAGACTCATGAAATTGAAAAATTTCTTAAGGACAGCCACCATTGTCTTGAAATCCCCTTCTGGTAGCATTCTACGGACCATCTCTTCATGTTCCTACATCAACAAACATACATCACATTAGGTAATTTGAAAAATATGGATTGGGAAAAAACAAAATTAAAGAACGCACCTGGTTGTTCATTATTACATATCCAAGGAGTAATCCAATGTAAGCAGCAACAAAAGTGTGCTCCATGTGACGGCCTGCTTTAGCGAGCACTGCAAACAGAAAGAGGAAGTTCGACAATGAGAAAACACACACACCAAATAAAACCAAATATTCAATGGAGAGGAAGGTTCTGGGGAAATACATTTGGCAACTGTCTCTTCTATCTGCTCATCTTGCGTCTTGTTTGCTTGCACAGTCTTGGGTTTGTCTTTGTCCTTTTCTGCTTCTTTAGATTTCTCACTGTCTTCAGCTGTATCCTTGCCATCAAGAATTGCATCAGTCTTTGCTTCTTCACTACGAGCAAATTCCTCTTGACGGTAGAACATGGCAATGAGTGCTTCAATTGCACTTTTTTGATTACCTATAGCCACAAAGCAAGTAAATTAGTAATACTAAGGAAACTATTTTTTATTGCCAGTGGTGAATAAAGAGGTTTCTGGGATAAGTATGTGTTGCAGTAAAAGTTAATCAAGAAAAGAAGTTCTTGACGGACCCTAATAATTTTGCATGTACCAAACTGGCACAAAGTAAAGACAGGAGAGTGTAGCATTGTGCGACCTCAAAAGTACAATTTCAGCATTCTTCACATCAATTCTTAACTAATACTTAATCACAATTGACACCAAAAACCATTTTTATGCAACACTGGACAATGTCTTTTTCAGTTGGTTGATTTAAAACTATTTTCATTTGAGCAAGAGCGTACATCTAAAACTTGTTTTTAGAATCAACACAACAAACACGACATTAATAATCTGAACTTACAGGAGAACATACTTTCAACTTCAGCTGGGGCCTTTGTTCTCAAAAGTCTTAATCTATTGTCAACATTATGTTCCATCAAATTTATCATCAATGTGAGCGCCTGTAAGACAAAAATGGTGAGAGATTATTTCTTATTTAAAACAGAAAACAGCAACAGGTAGTAGAGGCACTTACCAGAACAATGAGATCAAACTTTGAGTTCTCCACAACATAATTAGGAATATGAAGAAGCATATGCAATGATGATTCTAGCATGCCATTTTTGGATCCAACTAAAGTGCTACCATATGCTGCAAATTATGAAAGAAAACAAAACATTCTGTATCATTTCATCTTCAGTCAAAATAAGCAGGTCAGGTCAAGTACAAAAACTGACTCAGTCGTACATGCAATAAGTTGCTTTCAAAATAAGCTGTAATATGAACTTACTGAGGGCCTTGAAGTCATGAGAAAGGTTAATAAGAACTTTAAGGACTGCAAAAAGTGCTTCCCGCAGGACAACCCCAGTCGAATCTTTATCAGCTGGATCAAACACAGGGTACAAAGGAACTTCATTTCCACAAAGTCGAAGTAGCCTTACTAGAACATCAACCAGAGAGGCATTCTGATATTTCAAAAGATACACTTGATTCTCTTCATTCTCTTGAGTAACCTGTCATGCCAAGCAAATGTTAGAGAAACTATGAAATATATAAACAATAATATCACAGATTTTTGTGAGTCCTGAAAAGCTGCTTACATTCTCGAGAACCCTAAGACAACGGTCAATCTTCCTCATCCTGTCAAGCAGCGCATCAGTCCATTCTACAACATAATCGTCAATTTGAACACAACATTGACAAATTGTTTTAACAATGTGCTCAAGACCACCCAGTTCACGTAATTCTTCTTTAAACCACTCTCCAGCACGACGTGATGTGAGAGATAAAAGTGTTTCCATTGCTAACTGACCAACCTGTATTATTGAAATTAAGAGACACAATTTTTAATTAAGATTATTTTTCAAGTAGTGCGAGAGTTGATCTTGAAGGGGTACTCACAGTAATATTGTCTAAGTTGAGGTGCTTTGCATGACCCTGACTTTGAATTTCAGCACAGAGCTCACGCACTTTCAATTTATTTTTCAGTAATTGGGAACTTGACAGACCACAATCCTCAAGGGCATTTAAATGACTTGCATCTGACTCCAAAAGATTGAGCATTAACTCAAGACTGTCACGGTCTAGATCCATGTTCAAGCGGTCTTGACTTAAGGCAAACATCACTGTTGCAGTACAAAGTCCTAAACTCTGTAATGAAAACAATTTTAAACAATAAGTGATGATAGGAACCTTGAATTAAAACATATGCAAAGATGTTTCATTAAAAAATACCTGATCTCTAGCTGCATCATGTAGAGCTTTAAAGAACTTTGCAACTGTTCCATGAGCTCGAACATGCATTCTAAATGCAGGAACCATGCACTTGGACGCTAATGTAATTGCTGACAAACACCTTTCACAACAGAAGAGGACATCAGAGAATGTTTTGGAACAAGGTGATAAGTCAGGTTGAGAAAGGTGTGATTGAACTTACCGAGTACCAATAGGATTTTGCTCCTGTAAGGCATCAAGAATATACTCCACATCATCATTAAATTCTTGAAATTCACCAGATTCTTGAATTTGATGAGCTTTTTTCACATTCCGGACAACTGTGTAGTACTGAAAATGTAGACATAGGACAATTAATTCATACTCTGAACTCTAAACCTACTAGTTTGCGTCAATTAAAACAGCAAACTTACCCCTTTGGCATTCTTTGCACATTTCACAGTCGTCACAGGCTCAACACTTTCATCTTCAACTTTCTGCTCTGTCACTCGTGTTAACTCGTCAGGCCCAAATTCATCATCGACGTTGTATGCACTTGTAGAGGGCTTTGCCAATGAAGCGGAGGCTGTGGTTTAAAATCAGTAATGAGGGTTTAAACAAATACTTGGCCCAGGGTCACTCCATACTCAAAAGAAAACTTACCGTTAGTTTCAGCTTGCTCAACATTGGATCCAGGTTGAGATGCACCAGGAGCTCCTTCTTGATTATCACTCCACTTGTGTTTGTAGAGAGCCAGCCTCTTTTTATTCTCATCAGTCCCGTGGGCACGGCTTTTAAAAATGCTGCCCTTCTTCCGAGGAACAACAACAGCAGAGGAATAACTCTCAATTGAGTCAGAAACTTCATGGTTGGCGCTAGGCTCACCAGAACTTCCCGGGTATCCATCAAAAGCATCAGGACCATCATCATACACATTCCTTGAAGCCAATGCCGAATTGGCAATGACAGAATTGGCTGAATCTATTGGATCACAGTCAACCGAACCCATGTTTGATGAATGCATCTCATGATCAGGGGACTGTTGAGACCTTGTTTCCAAAGAAGAATGTTCAATGTGGTTTGCCATGCTCTGTGGTGCTTGATGGGACTCCATGGCTTGCCTGTTGCGCCGATCGAATCGCTGCCTGGCCGTCATATGCTCTAGGGGTTCATCAGGCTCTGATGAAGCTGCTGCTTGATATGAGGAGGTTGGAGCTTCATAGCTTTCTGTTGCCTGATAGTTAACATCTGGTTGTTGGTATGAAGAGGTGTGGTCATAGGGCGGAGGTAATTGGTAGTTCTCTACAGGTTGTTGAAAGGCAGGAGCTGAAGGATAAGAGGGTGGAACTTGGAACGAAGAAACAGGAGGATATGTTGCGGCTGTTTCTTCAGGCTCAGAAGATGCTGCCTCCAAACCTGCATTTTCAGTACTGGGCATTTCAGATTCTGAGTTTTCTTCATCATATATTGCACTGGGTAATGCAGGAGGTGGAGCCTGCAAACAATGGAAAATTACAAAATATTACCAGAAGACCTCAATGTACCAAGCCATGGATGTTACTCTGAGACCAACAGGGATAAAAATATTAACTTTATCATTATTTCTTACTAAAGCCTAGAATACAGCTATCGGTGGGAGGGAAAACTTACTGATGATGTTGGCTGGGGAAGAGACATGTCCGTTTCGTTGCTAACATTCAAGCTTTCTGCACTTGAGTAGTCAAGAGATTCATCTTGAGCTGAGCTTTCCATGGCAGGGGCATCAGTTGAGGCTGCATCATCATTTTCTGTACCTTCTGATGCAGGTACTGTTTGCGGGCTGAAAAAATAAATTATTAACAAAATTTTAGTTTTAAATTTTGGCCTCTGCCATGATGGCAACGCATCATTGAACCAGATTCGATGAAAGAGTAAGGTTTAAAATTACCTGTAAGGATTATCCGTTGAGGCTGATGCTTCTGGTGACATGTACAAGCCATAGCCGGAAGAAGTATCAGATGTGCTAGTGGTTAAAGGTTTGTCAATACCCCGTCCATAACCATATCGAGCTGCTTTCTTGGGAGTTGGGATGAATGGTATTGAATCAGAGTCCATTTCTAGTGTTGTTTCCTTTGCTGCCGCTTGCCGACGTGAGTATCGCTGAGCGCGTGATGTGGCAGTATTTACAGTCAAAAGTTCATCGTCATCCTCAATATCAGGTATTCGTTCTTTCTTGCTGCCTCCTTTCTTGTTGCGGGGTACACTGCTCTGTTTAGCCTTGACAGGAGGTGCCTTCACAATGTCGTGCTCTTCGACTAATTGCACTTCAAACTCATTGCCTGGGCTAGTAGGGGTGGTGGTGGTACTAACCAGTTGAGATGTGCCCTTAAATATCCTTAGGACTATAGGAGGTTTGTTGGCTTCTTCAGTATTAGAGCTACTTGAAGGTCGTGTTGCAGGGGGACTTGGAGTGCGAGTCATCATTTTTCGACTAGCTGCTGTGCGCATTGGTTGGATAGGATGATCGGTATCGTCAACTATGTTGCTTCCAAACGAGGCAACACTTGATGCTTTGGTAACGTCTGTAGCAGGTGTAGCCGCCTCTGCATTTCTGCTTTTGAAAAACTTTTTGGGCTTGATGACAGGAGGAGCACTAGAGTCCGAATCATTGTCAAAAGAAAACGAGTCATTGGACTTGCTATTTTGTGAATCTGTCCTTCCCCTCTTGATCCCAACAACTGGTTCACATTTACCTGCAGAAGTACAATAAACGTAGAACAAAAGATATGAACCAACACTATTTTGAGAAGTAAATGTTTGCAAACTTACCAACACCAACTTTCCCAACGCCAGCTTTTCCAGCGGTAGCCTTTACAGCGGCAGCCTTGCCACCGCCAGCCTTCCCAGCACCAGCTTTCCCTCCGCCAGCCTTCCCACTGCCAGAGTTAGGTCCTATCGCATTTGAGCTTCGGATGGAGGTAAACGATGTGATACCCCATTTTCCAACAGTACCAGCAGATTTGGCTGCAGATGGACGGTTGCTGTTCTCTTTAAATAATTTGTCAAACTGTATACTTGTGGTGCACACATTGCCCACTTTACGCCCGAAGGTCTTTTGATAATGACGTGACATGATGTCTAAGTCTCTGTGAACAACAAATTTGACAGATAAGGCATCAACTGAATAACTGACCAGACTCATTTATTGAAATCATTGGAAAAGGGCCGAGACACTACACAATAGAATCTGAACAAAGCAACATACCTGCTCTCTGTCGATGATAACAGTCTTCAATTAAACAGTGGGTGTCTGGTGAATATCGGCTCAGCCATGTTGATACTATAAGTAGAACAAACAACAAAACAAGAGAATGCTAGGTCGTTACAAAAGAAGTGGTAAGTTATAAAGCACTGGTTTGAAGTAAGCCTCCAGAAATCCCAAACCTCTCCAGACCAGATGTGGGAGAAAACTATCACAAGAGAGCAGACCCATAATAGTGGAAGAAATGAACAACAAATCGGTAGTGAGATGGAATCCGGACGAAGGCGAAAAGGAAACCCGTTGATAAACAACGCAGCCGAACGGGCAGGGCGCGAACTGGAAATGATTATTGGGTCCGCGTAACGATACTACACTAGGTGAGAGGCTTGAGCTGAGGGCGTCAGATGGAATTATTCAAACCTCGCAGGGACGTGACGCTTCAAGCAACGGCCTCAATGCCGAGCTCGGAGACATTTGAATCGAAAAATACAACCTTGTTAAATTTACATTACCTGAGACAGATCTTCACAAATCCAAACTCCGGAAAATGACACTGAATCGGAGCACTGATCAAAAGGGGGTGCCCTGAAAAAAAAAGTCCCTATTTTATTAACATTTAACATGTCAGTAAATTCATCGGTATTTATATTCGGGCCCCAAGAATGTGTTTACCTACTCCAACAATTCGCATCATACACAACACAGCCCAGACGGCAGATATGTAACTAAATCCACAAACAACAGACAAGAAGCAGCCATAATTTTCCGAGCTCCGCTTGAAAACGTACAGACGATAAAGTCTTCCTAGGAGTATGTTCACGGATGACTGTAACTTGACACTCTCTATGGTGGCAGAAATTGGGAGCACGAAAGCCTGCCGTTTTGTAGCAATTATAAAATATTTCAAGCCCTGATAATTTAGGTTTACTTTCTCGCAGAGAATTTTAGTTTGCACGAAAAGATTATTTTAAGAGCGGCACATGCCCTTGTTGCATGCTGGGAATGAACAACACCATGCTCTGAAGCACTCTAGAGTTCCGAGCGATCCTAGCGCCACCTAGCGGGCGGACCCATGTACCACGGAATGAAAGCAACTTTGAGGTTACTTGCATCGGTAATTCCTTCTGCTGGTATAAGAAGGTTTGTATGGGACAATCAGAATCGTGCATCTGATTGTGTTTAGCTTAGCAACGTCGCTTTACTGAAATCTGATTGGTGTCGCATCTGTAGTCATTTTCATAAATATTTTTTCATTCATGTAAAGTACTTAAGAGACGTGGAGTAGTTGCCGTTGAGTGTTCCTCTGTCAAAAAGATTTCATCATCTAGGATTCGTCCAAGTCACATTTAGTGATTCTTCTATTTTTCAGTTTCGTATCTTATGTGTTATTCGCTTTTCTTTTTATTGTTCATAATTCTTCCCAACGTTACTTTTAAGATGCGACAGCTGTCGAATCGCGTAAGCCACGTTTGCGGCGTTGCGAGTACCAGAAAAACTACTGGCACTTGTGAAATTTGAAGCAAGTACAACTTGTGCATTTCGTTGTTGGTATATGACAACCGTTTTTTTTTTCAGTATGTCTAAACGCGTTCAACCCAAATGGGAGCCTCCCAGCCGAACTGCCATTCCTGTTTTGAAACTATACAATAGCTTGACTCGACAAAAGGAAGAGTTTGTACCTCAAAATGGAAGGAAAGTTACATGGTACAGTTGTGGTCCAACAGTGTATGATGCATCGCACATGGGACATGCCAGGTATAATTGGTTACACTGTAAGTAACTGAGTTATTTATCTTTCGGTGTGGAACTACATGTGTGTACTCTGCAGGTCCTACATATCTTTTGATATATTACGTCGGGTTTTGTCTGATTACTTCAACTTTGATGTTCAATATGTCATGAATATAACTGACATAGATGACAAAATTATCAAGAGAGCTCGTCAGCATTATCTATTTGAACAGTACCTGAAGGAGGAAAAGAGTCTGTCTCAAATTCTTGAAGATGTTGATGCAGTTGTTAGGAGGTTGAAAGAAACCCTTCAGAATACCACAGACCCAGACAAAAAAATAATGCTTGACCAAATGCTCAGCAAAGTAGTGGTTGTCATGGGTGATGTAGAAATAGCTGTAAAATCTAAAAGTGAGGAAAATATTCTGGCTGCTAAAAAGGTAACTTTAAACAAAATTGGTGCGCTACTGTGTGTCTTGACCTTATTTCAGTGAAAATAATGTTTTTTTGAGTAAACAAATAAATGCATTGTCAATTTCAGAACTTGCTGGAAGTAGCAAAGGACCCACTTTCGGATTGGCTTGACAGTTCCTTAGGCAGTTCTGTTGCTGACAACTCAATATTCAGCCAACTTCCTCGCTTCTGGGAAGCAGAGTTCCATAAAGATATGGATGCTCTGAACGTAAGTACTTTGTAAAATAAATTGCTTCTGCTTTAAAATTCTTCCTCGTGTACTAATTTGAAAAAAATTGCTAGGTTTTACGACCTCATGTACTCACTCGAGTCAGTGAATATGTACCGGAAATTATTGCTTTCACTCAAAAAATTATAGACTGTGGAATGGCATATGAGGCTGGAGGCTCTGTGTACTTTGATGTCGGCAAGTTTGATTCAAAGGAGAATCATCACTATGCCAAACTAGTACCTGAAGCATTTGGAGATGAAAAACAATTACAAGATGGAGAAGGTGATTATTTCTTAATGTAACATTACAGTGATTTTTTTTGTTCATCTTGTGCTATGGAGTTACTGCAACCTTTTCTTTTTTAAGGTGATCTATGCATCGGTCAAGACAGATTGAATGAGAAGAGATCACCTACTGACTTTGCTCTATGGAAAAAGTCAAAAGCAGGAGAGCCGTCATGGGATTCTCCATGGGGTAGTGGCAGACCTGGGTGGCACATAGAATGCTCTGTGATGGCTTCCGCCATTCTGGGCCCCTCCATTGACATCCACACTGGAGGTGTCGACTTGAAATTCCCTCACCATGACAATGAATTAGCGCAATCTGAAGTAAGGATTTTGCTTTCCACTGTCCCCTATTTTCACAAATAAAATACAGCATTCGAGTAGACTAACAAGTTCATTTCAATCTTTTCAACAGGCTTATTTTGACAATGATAATTGGATTCGATATTTCTTACACTCTGGGCATCTGACCATTTCTGGTTGCAAAATGTCTAAATCTTTGAAGAATTTTGTCACTATCAAGGATGCTTTGAACAAGTATAGCTCTCGCCAGTTGAGATTTGCATTCCTACTACATTCCTGGAAGGATACTCTTGATTACAGTGACAATACAATGGAAGTTGCAGTAACTTATGAAAGAATGCTCAATGTCAGTAATATTTCCTTCTGTGTATAATGTTATGGTTCTTTTTTGTGCCTTTTATTCACTTCTTGTCAATATGTCCTTCATTATTTTCTCCTCTACTTTCAGGAGTTCTTCTTGAATGTTAAAGATCTTGCTAGAAATGTTGGTCAACAAACTACTCTTGACTCTTTCCAAAAGTGGACTCCCAAAGAATTAGAACTTTTCAATAAATTTTCTGCAACAAAAGATGCAGTTCATGCGTGCTTGTGTGGTTAGTTTTGAAACACTCAGGTTTTCCCCTTTTAAATCATCATTTCATTTTTTACTGTATGTTACTTTCTTTTTCTAGATAATGTGGATACTGCTGGAGCTCTCAAAACTGTTAGAGACCTAGTTTCAGCATGCAATTCATACTTGGGTGACAAGTCACCAGATTTTTCACCCAATGCTCTACTTCTCAAGGATGTGGCTTCTTACATTATGTGGCTCTTACGCACTTTTGGTGCTCTCCCCTCAGATTCAAGCATTGGTTTTCCTCTAGGAACGGCAGAAAATTCTGGTTTTGATGTAAGTTTAGGTTTAAATTTTGCTTCAAATGGAATGTTAATGATTTTTTTTTTTTTTTGTTGTGCTCATCATAAGGGTGTATTGTCTATTACAGCTTGAAGAAACTGTTATGCCGTATGTACGAATCCTTGCTGAATTCCGGGACAGTGTTCGCACACAAGCTAGAGAGACCAAAGATGTAGTGATTCTTAAGCAATGTGACAACCTGAGAGATGATATTCTGCCCACTGTTGGAGTTAGACTAGAAGATCGCGAAGGTTTGTAGTAAAACGAACATGCCTTAAAAACTGAACCCCCAAGCCACAAATTTTGTGAGGTTTCTTTTTCTTTTTCTAGTTCCCCCAGCGAGGGTAAAACTTGTTGACCGTGAAACACTGTTAAAGGAAAGGGAAGCAAAACAAAAAGCTGAGGAAGCCAAGGCTGCTGAAAAAGAGCGAAAGAAGCAGGAACTTGCTCAGGCTGCTGCACTTAAAGAGTCAAAGCGCAAAATCCCACCCACTGAAATGTTCCTCCAAGAAACAGACAAGTATTCAAAGTTTGATGAAAATGTAAGTCTCATTTAATACTATTTCTGGATTTAAATAGTGAAGACTGTGTTTCCAACTTCTTGTTTGGTTTAAGGGATTACCTACCCATGATGCAGCAGGCAAAGAAATTAGCAAAGGCCAGCAAAAGAAGCTTCAGAAATTACAAGCCGCTCAAGCCAAGCTGTACGAAGAATATTTATCATCTAAACAGTGAATACTTACAAAGACTGATTTTGTATAAAGTATTTTTCTTTGGGAGACATGTGTTATTCTTTCCCAATTTACTTAAAAAGCTAGGAAAATCATGTCAGTAACTGTTAATCTGATACTTTAAAGTTACTTTAAATAGTTACCTTTGATCTTCCTTTAATCACTATTATATTGTGTTGATTGAGATTGGCGATTGAGTTGACAACAGTCAGTGGGATGGCCTATAATAATAAAGGAGAGCTAGAGGGTTTCTTAATAATGAACTATTTTTATTATGAAGTGTTTTGTTTTTAAAAAGTTGTGCTATTTTGGGGAGACTTTTATCGTGCTTACCTTAGGATTCTAATAAATTAATCCACTGCCCGGTGCCTTTATTTTGAATTTCATGCCTATTTATTGTATTTATAATCCTTGAACGCCAACATGTGATAAGACCTGTATACTGCATCTGTGATGTAACAAAATAAATATGAAATCAGTTATACTGACCGTAACCGGACGTTCACCTGACCCATCATACTACCCACAGGAGCGCCAGTAGAGGCCTACGTTTCCCTAGTCGCGCCGGGCAGGCCACCCAACCAATTGCCATGTCTCACTTGGCCTATGGCGGCCTTGGCAGCCTTGGCTTATGCCGGCGGGGTAGGCCACCCAACGAGCAGGCCGACTGACGTGCCGGTTAGCGGAAACGCGCTCGTGTCCAGCCTAGCGATTCCGGAGGATCTTTCCGTCGCTCTCTCTCTCTCGCCACCCTGCGGGACTATGGGACCTTGATGGGACGCCCCGTGAGTGCGACAGAGACAGAGCGACGAAACCATCCTTCGGAGTCGCCCTGCTGGGGGCCGCTGTGTACTTTATGCAGCGAACAAAGGCATGGGTGCACCCCCACCTACCCCTGCGGCCGAGCCCGCCCCACCTGCCCCTTCAAATTGCACCCCCTCCCCTCCCCCCTGCTCGTGTTCTCACTCCCCAGCCCCCGCGGCGGCGCGACGCGGAAATATAGCAGCATTGTGTGAGTCTCACAGACGACAAAATAGTGCAGTTTACCCCATTTTTTGGAATAATTTTTTCTATCTCCCTCCCCCTCCCACCCCTCCCCACCGCTCATGCTCGGTCTGACAATAGCTGGCCACCACCGGGGCCTGTCTAAATTCACTTCACCCAACTGATTTGTCAGCCGCGCGGGGTAAGATTCGGGTTTTCCCCCTCGCGATCTCCGTCTCTCTCTCTCTCCCTCGATTTTTTTATCTATTCGCGTGGTCCTCCTCCCTCTCATCGGTTCTGATATCGATAAAAAGAGCTTTTCACTTCATTTTGTTGCCATTTGAAATCCGCGGATCTGGAAAAAGAGTGTGGGAGGGAAGGGGTGCGCGGTGCAGCGGTGCAGCGCCGCTGCCAGTGGCGGATCCAGAGACGGTGAGGGGGGGGAGCAGAGCAGCGAGACGGTGCGCGCGGCACGCCACCGCAAGGCCGCGCGGAGCGCGGAGTGACTTAGCGAGACGCGGACAGGGAGGGCGTGTGAAGCCTCACACTTTTCGGGACTCGTCATGGTGGGGAAGGACGGAGCAATCGGCCAGTCCAGTCTGACCGAGTCTGACCCAACCCGACCCGACCGAGGCATACACAGACCCTCGATAAAGTCACTCGCGTTTCCACATGCGAGTGGACAGTCAGCAAGAAATACCCTGCCAGACAGGGAGGGATGACTGGCCGGGCAAGGGGGGGGGGGGGGGGTAGGGCCGAAAGGGGAGGGGGGAGTACTCGGCGCTGCGGAAGGGTCGCTTGCGTCTGTAACGTAAAAATTAATTAACCATTTGGCATTCGCTGGGCGATTGTTCTTCCTGAAAAGCGGTCGCGAACAAGGGCGATTGGAGGAAACGGGAATAACGGGCAAACGAGCCGGGCGAGGCGCGGTGTCGATCTTGGATCTGGGCGATTGACGTGCAGAACTGCAGAACGCACCCCTCCGCCTCGACTCCGACGACTCTGACCGCAAGGACCACGCCCCGCCGCGCCCCGCGCCCCGCCCTGACTTGCCAGTCGGTTAACCCAAGTCGAAATAACGACTCCATACAAAACTATTGATTCCATTGTTTTTTCGACTCCTTGCCGTTGTTCTCACCATTCTTCCTCTTTCATTTTTTTCTTGTTTTGCTTCCGAGAAGCTGCGGGCGCCTCGCCGCGCCTGGAGACCGATTCCGAACAGCGTTTCGTCGCTCTGTCTCTCTCGCGCCCCCCGCAGGGACACGCCGTGGGTGCGAGAGAGACAGCCTCGTTCATTAACGGGGCCGCTTTATTTCTTGTAACGATTTCTTTCCTTTTGTAGCGCACACCGCAAGGGCGTCCGGGGCGGGGCGGGGCGGCCCGCAGGAAAGTCAGCCGGTTTGCCATTTCATTTGCGAATCGGAACAAGGCGAGTCGTGGCAGCCGAGCAGACTGATGCCGAAAGTCGTTTTCGTCGCTCCTGTCTCTCTCGCACTCGTGGGCGCCCCCGTGGGTGCGCGAGAGGCAGCGCGACGAAAAAGGACTCTCGGGGAGTCTGCAGGGGCCGGCAGGCGCCACGTCACGCTGCCCGTCACGCCGCAACGCTTTTCTCTTTGCGAGAATCGCTTCTTTTTCGCGAGCATTTTTATTTTCCTTGTCGCGGAAGTATCAAAACAGCTGAAGAAGAATTCTTCTTGTTCTTGTAGCGGCGCGGCGGCGGCGATCGGACCCCCCACCCCCCGAAAATCAGTGACCAGAAAGTGAAACACGGACGCCCCTTTGCCCGCCCCCTCGGAGTCGGAGCTCCAATCCGCGGCCGGTTTTTAATCGCTTTGTTTTTCGGCTGAAACGCGATATCAGAGTGCGTCCGCTAATTGCAACCACCGGGCTGCTCCTTCAGGCCTTCTTCGCCGTGCCCCGCCTTGCCCCGCCTTGCCCCGCCGCGGCCGCGCGGACTTCCGGACAAAAATGGACCGGGGCATCCTCGGGAGAGGGAGAGAGAGACAGAGAGAGAGAGAGAGAGAGAGAGAGAGAGAGAGAGAGAGAGAGAGAGGAGAGAGAGAGAGAGAGAGAGAGAGAGAAAGGGATCTAGAATGCTAGCTGCCACTGCCAGCCCTCAAGCTTAATCGCGCCTGTACACTTAAAAAAAATACGAAAAAGGAAAAAACCGCTGAAAAAATAAAACCGTGGGGTCGCTGCAAGCAGCAGAAGCATCAGGGCAGCTCCTATGCCTTTCCCCTCGCCTTGCCTTGCCTTCGCCTTCGCCCTTGTGGATTTCAGGAGGACGGTCTAATTACGTTACCGAGCAAAAATTACATCCCGCGGCCCGGCGGGGACCGGCGGGGACCGGCGGGGACCGCAGCGGGGCGTCCCTCGGCACCCCCTCCACCCCCACCCCCACCCCGCCGCCCCGCGCCGCCCCGGACGAGCAGCCCGCCAGCCCCGCTGCAGCCCCGCAGATATGAAAAGATGTATAAACCTGAGATATGCAAAACTTTGGCGAGTTAAAAAAAATGAGGCGGCGCAAATATTTGTGTGGTGGAGTGGAAGGCCCTGATTAGCGTCTTGCGCCGGGGGCGGGGCGGGTGGGGTGCCTGCCGCACCCGGTGGCGGCGGCAGGGCGGGGCGGCGGAGCAGCGGACGGACGCAGCCTAGTCGGACTACAGCAGACGAAGCCCCCGGGCAGCGGACCCGCCCGCCGCCCATCCGTGTGTGACGGGCCGGCCCGCAGCGCAGGGGCTATTGCAGCCCGCCCGACACCAGCCAACAGCCACCAGCCTCCGCACACACGAAAGGGTTGAGTTGAGTTCAGGCTCGGACTGGCCCCCAAAAGGCCCCGGCAGATAAGACGGCAAAAGGCCCCCGATCATCATAGTTTTTACCCTTCATGACCAACTTTGTGAGTCTACCGCTCCCACACAAGTTGCGGTCAATAGCCTAGGCAAAATCGTTGTGGTCAACGTCTTCCCGATACAGGGCATGAAAGAGTAGGGTCTTAAGAATACTAGGACGTCGAGGGAGGCCTTTTACGGCTACTAGATTGGACACAGTGGCCCCCCAAAGTCAGCAAAATCGGCAAATTTCCGAGATTCGACCACTTTTTGACCAACTTTGGTCCCAAAATCGTTGCGGTCAAAGGCAAAATCGTTGTGGTCAACGTCTTCCCGATACAGGGCATGAAAGAGTAGGGTCTTAAGAATACTAGGGCGTCGAGGGAGGCCTTTTACGGCAACTAGATTGGACACAGTGGCCCCCCAAAGTCAGCAAAATCGGCAAATTTCCGAGATTCGACCACTTTTTGACCAACTTTGGTCCCAAAATCGTTGCGGTCAAAGGCAAAATCGTTGTGGTCAACGTCTTCCCGATACAGGGCATGAAAGAGTAGGGTCTTAAGAATACTAGGACGTCGAGGGAGGCCTTTTACGGCTACTAGATTGGACACAGTGGCCCCCCAAAGTCAGCAAAATCAGCAAATTTCCGAGATTCGACCACTTTTGACCAACTTTGGTCCCAAAATCGTTGCGGTCAAAGGCAAAATCGTTGTGGTCAACGTCTTCCCGATACAGGGCATGAAAGAGTAGGGTCTTAAGAATACTAGGACGTCGAGGGAGGCCGTTGGCCGCAACTAGATCGAAGCTGTGGCCGCTCAAATTCAGCGAAAACGGCCACTTTCGGAGATTCAATCACTTTTTGACCAACTTCGTGACGTTACTGGTCACAAATCCAAAGGCCCCGGCAGATTTTTCTGCCTGTCTGCCCTGGCCAGTCCGAGCCTGGTTGAGTTGCTGTACATTCCCAGCGGTGACGTCGTCGTTGTGGTTCTTGTTGTTGTTGTTGTTGTTGGTGTTGTTTGTTGCTGCCGGATGCAGCTCTGCTGTCTTGTTAGACAACGTCGTCGTGGCTATTGTTGTTGTTGTTCCTCTTCTTGTTGTTGGAGCTGGTGGAAGTGCGCCGGCAAGCTCCGCAAGTGCCGTGCGGTATTGATTAATCAGGGAAAGACAATGCCGCGTTGATCTACGGCACCCCTCGCTCCCCCTCCCCTCCCCCTCCCCCTCCCCCGGCCGCTCTTCCAGTCTTCCACCCCCACACCGCCTCGCCCCGCCGCACGCGCGCACCCCACGCGGCTAAGCACCCCACGCAATCCTTTTTTTACATCACCCCTCTCATTCCGCGGCCGTCCCTCTCTCTCTCCCTCTGTCCTTCTCTCTCTGCGTCCGTCTCTCTCGCTCTCGCGGTGACTCCGGCCGAGGCTCTGGCTCGCTCGCTCCCCGTGTACAGCAGAGAGTGCGCGCTGGAGAAACTCTCTCTCTCTGTCTCTCTCTCTCTCGTTCTCTCTCTCTCTCTCTCTCTCTCTCTCTCTCTCTCTCTCTCTCTCTTCTCTCTCTCTCTCTCTCTCT